GGATCTGCTGAACCTGGTGTGCAGGCTGCTGTCCATCATGAACATCAAAGGTATCAAAGTCGGCTTCATCCGAGTGCTGCGCGTGATGCGGCCGCTGCGAACGCTCCACTCGCTACCAGGTGAGCTCGCCAACTTGTCGTCTTCACTCAACGTCGGCACTAGGTCTGAAAGTCCTGACCAACTCGTTGCTGGCCAGTTTACCGGCCCTGGCCAACGTGTTTGTGTTGCTCATGTTTTGCATGCTCGTGTTTGGCATCCTCGGCATGGAGATCTATCGCGGGTCGAATCATTTTCGGTGTCGGGTGACGCCGTTCCCCGTCGTGCTGCCGCCCAACGGCACGTTCAACTACCCGCCGAATGCGTCGTACATTTCGATGGTGCAGAACGATCCGAACCAGTTCATGTGTCGGTTCCCGAACGGCACGCAGATCTCTCAGCTGATTGACGTGTGGGACGTACCCACAGACTGCTTTTGGCCCGTCGACACGTCAGAGGTCATCCCAATGGTGTGCAACCAAGAGGCCGAAGTCGGTCGGCAATGCCAAGGGGGCGCTGTGTGCGGCTCCAACTTCGACGCGAGGGGCAATCCCCGCTTCAACTACCTCCTCCAACCGCCGTGGGACGGCAACATCAACGACGACGCCCTATTTAATTCCAACCTGAACTACGGCCTCCCGAGTTTCGACAACCTCGGCCGGACGTGGCTCATTCTCCTCCAGACGATCACGGCGTCCGGGTGGATGGTGTTGACGCAAACGGTGCGTTGGCGACGAAAGGTTGGGCTGGCATCATGATTCTCGTTGTTGCGTAGACGCAAAGCACGGGGAGCCCTGTGGTGGCTGGCATCTACTTCACCTCGCTCATGTACATTGGGATGTGTTTTCTGCTGCAACTCAACATGGCCGTGTTGTTCACCGAGTTTGAGAAGGCAAAGGAGCAACAGGCCAAGAAATTGCGCGAGGCCATGTACGTGCAATAGAATGCTCATTGCTCCCACGTCCCATTCACTATTGTATTGATCAATGTTGTTGTTGTGTAGTGGGCGGCAAAGCTTGATGCTGGCAAAGGTCCCCAAGACAAAGTCAGCCAGTCAGCGCCTGCTGCACGGCAAGCCCGCCGAATTGGTCGCGCGGGTGAGCACGGTCGCGTTCCGCCGGGGCGACGTCATTGTGCAATCTGCGTTGGGGCGCCAGTTCTTGCACCTACGAGCAGCCATGTTGAAAGTGGTCGTGTCCCCCGAGTTTGTCAATTTGGGACTCCTCGTGACCATCTCAAACATTTTGGTGCTGTCAATGGACTACCATGGCATCGATTCTGGGACCAAAAACAAGTACGAGACGGCCAACTTTCTTTTCATGCTGTACTTTGGCGTGGAGTCGGTCGTGAAGGTCATCGGCCTCGGGTTTCGGCGATTCTGGATGTGCGTGAAGCCACCCCTCTCTGGACAAGTCTGACTGCAGCCCTAGGGATAAATTCAACCGGTTCGACTTGCTCACGTTCTGCTTGGGGGTGGTGGAAGCAGCCATCAGCCCGCCGGCCTTTATCGATGGAACGCCGGGCGGAAGCGGCATCTTCACGGCGTTTCGCGCTGCACGCGCGTTCAAACTCGCTCGGATGTGGAAGTCGCTAAACCAGCTTCTCACCGCGATTTATCTCTCGTTGAGCGAGATCCTCAACTTTTTGCTGTTTCTGCTATTGTTTCTGCTGATTTTCAGCCTCCTCGGCATGGAAGTACGTGGCTCCACATCTCGTCCAACACGTGCTGACCATCCGATTCTTTGTCTCGTAGCTCTTTGCGACGCGGTACCAATTCGACTCGAACAACTACTACATGCCATTCAACAACACGAACCCGCAGACGCGGCTCCACCGATCCAACTTTGACTCGATCGTGTGGGCAGCATTCACGGTGTTTCAGATTCTATCGTACGATAACTTTCCCGCCGTCATGTACGACGGATGGATTTCCGTGGGTGCATGGGCGCCGCTGTACATTTCGCTTGTCATTATCCTCGGCGTGTTTGTCGTGATGAACATGTTTTCTGCGATCTTGGTCCAAGCCGTCATGAAAGGCAACAACACCGACGATGACGACGACAACAATGACTCGATTGTGGCCGACGCCTCCCGCAAGCACACTGACGACACGACGATGGCGAGCGCGATGACGAGGCGAATCGTCCAGCGCGTCATGCAGCAGTTGGCGCGGTTGCAATTCCCGCCCGCGACCGCCGAGACACGCCCCGTATACTTTGGCCACAGTCTGTTTGTGTTTGCCGAATCGAATCCGCTGCGGCGGCTGTGTACCGCCATTTTGACACGCCCCGAGTACACGTGGGTGATGAGCGTCATCATCTTCTTCTCGTGTGTCGACACTGCGCTCGACTCGCCGCTGCTCGACCCGAGCTCGACCCTGGGCCAGCTCCTCGAAACCGCCAACTTGGTCTTTGCCGTCCTGTTCTCGGTCGAGATGGCCATCAGCGTAATTGCCAAGGGCCTGATCCTTGGTCCGGACGCCTACATCAAGGACTGGTGGCGGGTTCTCGACGGGTTCATTGTAGCCGTGTCGATTCTCCCGTATTGCTTTGGAAACCTGAATCGAGATGCCCTGACCGGCCTCCGGTCCCTGCGCGCGTTTCGAGCACTGCGACCGCTGCGCGTGATCAACAACATCCCGTCCCTGAAAGTCGTCGTGAATACGCTCTTCCGGTGCATCCCTGACGTGGGTCGCACCATGCTATTTTTCTTCTTCATGCTGTTCCTGTTTGGCCTCATGTCCCTGGCGCTGTTCAAAGGCGCATTGTACACGTGCTCCGTGAGTCCGTACAACTACGGCCTCGGCACGGGCGTCCCCGTGAACCCTCCGTGGTTTCCGACAGATTACACGGGCGATTTCAACATCGGAAACATGACGCTCCTGAAGGAACTCGACGTCATGACATTTCCACGAGCCTGGGCAAACATGACGGTGCCGCAGCAGAACGCATTGCGGCCGGTGTGGAACGTCACGAACATTTGCGGGCCGTTCGCGGACGACTACACGCCGACGTCGCGGGACCTGTGCTTGTGTTTTGCCGATCAAAACGGCACATCGTGGGACCCACTGGCGCCGCAGCAATTTGACAACATCTTTCACGCGATCTCGGGGTTGTTTGAGCTGACGACGATGGAAGGGTGGGTGTCCGTCGCCCTCGCGTGCATCGACGCGGTCGGGGAAAACATGCAGCCGATCGCGAATACAAACCCAGCGTTCATGGTGTACTGGTGGCTGTTTATCATCATCTGCGCGTTTTTCATCACGGGTCTCTTTATCGGTGTCTTGTGCGACAGTTTTGCACGGGAAACGTACGGGTCCCTTGTCACGGACGAACAAATCCAGTGGATCAAGCTCCAGAACAAGGTGCTGGCGTTGTCGCCGCAGCGCGTATTCCCGTGCCCATCGCACCCGGTGCGGAAGGCCGCGTTCCGCATCTGCACGTACGCCTACTTTGAACACTTTATCACGTTTGTGATTCTTCTCAACACGACGTGCATGGCCGTTCAAGTGTTTGGCCAGAGCGTCGAGACGGAAACGGCCCTCAGCACCCTCAACACGATCTTTTCCGTCATTTTTGTGTTTGAAGCGGCCGCGAAACTCACGTGCTACGCGACAGTATACTTTGACGACGGATGGAACCGATTTGACTTTGTCATTGTGCTCCTCACCGTCGTCAACTTGATTTTGCAAGCGGTAAGTATCAATGTCGGGTCCGCGGCGTCTGTGATTCGGGTCTTTCGCGTCGGCCGCGCACTACGTCTGATCAAGAAGGCCAAGATCATGAAGAACCTGTTTGACACGCTCATCGTGTCGCTGCCGGCCGTGATCAACGTCGTGAGCTTGCTCAGCTTGCTCTACTACATCTTTGCCGCCGTCGCCGTCCAGTTGTTTGCCAAAACGGCGTTCAATGGCAGCATGATCAACGAGAACCAGAACTTTCAGAGCTTTTGGACGGCGTTTCAGACCTTGATTGGGTTCTCGACGGGCGAAAACTGGGACAATTTTACGTGGGAAGTGTACAATCAAGTGCCGGCGACCAACCCGACGTGCGAGGACCGATCGTACGACCCGACCATGTGCGGCTTCAACGACACGTACAATTGCCTTCCGCTCGACGGGTGCGGCAGTGCGTTCATTCTGCCGTTCATGTACTTTTTCTTCCTCGTGATGGGGTACGTCGGCATCAACTTGTTTTCGGGGATCGTGGTCGACGCGATCGGGGACGCGTCCAGCGTGTGCCCCGTCAATGTCAACACACTCGCCGAGTTCTCGGACCGGTGGGCCAAGTTTGATCCGTCTGGCACGGGGCTCATCACGGCGGACGAGCTCACCGACTTTTTGTACACCGTGTACCCGCCGTTCGGGTTCAAGGGTGTGCCAGGATTCACGCGTCGGCGGGTGGCTATCGCGATCGGTTCGTGCACCCGACCCTTGCGCGAGAGATGGCTGACATGGACGTGGCTTGCAGGTGACTTGGGCATTCCGATATACGACAAGATGTACGTGCACTTCAAGGATGTGCCGCGGGCGTTGGTCCAGCGAGTGCTCGCCGAGGTAGGTTGAGAGTCCGACCATCGTGTGGCTTTGAACGGGTGTCGTCCAGGGCGACCGGGCCAAGCACGCAGAAATCACACGGATCATGGAGCAGCTCGGGATCAACAAACAATTTGACGAGATGTGGTTTCGATCGCACGGGAAGAAGCACCAGGAAGCGCTGGTCCACCGCGAACAAGTCACGGCGCGCGAGTACTCGGCGACGCTCGTGATCCAGCGATTCTTTGAAAAGGTCAAACTGGAACGCCAGCGAAAACGGAATCTAGCGCGCATTCACACGCTCGAAAGCGATGGCGCGACCGACCCGTCGTTGGATGTTGGTCGCGCCGTTGTCGCGCGCGACATGGATGTCGAGTCCGTCGAGGCCAACGAACGGACCGACGATCCGAATTTGTTCGGGGGAGTCCCAACACGTCACGAGTTGTCCCCGAGTGTGCAAGGTACTCTTGGTCAGGACAATGCCACCACCACGCACGAGTAAAACACGCCGTCCGTGGTCGTGCGCTCCGACCGTCATGATGCGTTTTTCAGTCGCGACTGCCTCCACGGTGGGCAACCAAAACGTGCACCGCTCTAGTTCATGTGTATAGGAACTTATTTAACAGCAGACGCCACAGTGACATGGGTTGCAGCCTCCGAGACATTTGCTACGACTGTGCGGTCACGAAGCAGGGGAGTAGTGCACATGGGCTCGCTGGTTCCTCGCAAGTGTTGGCGGCGGGTCGACCGGTGAAGTCTACATGCGCAGCGGCAAGTATCACGTCGACGTGTGGATGCGTATCCCTGCGGCGCATACCCAACGAGGACGCTGAACGTCTCGGACAATGTCCCTCGGCCATACACGCCAGACATGCACGTATCGACTTGCATGTCGGCGCCTAGCAGCCCTCCACGAGGCGGCCGACGCGGCGACGTCGGCGCGGCCCGTTCGTCGCCACAAACACGTCTCATGCCAAGGCGCGACATGCCACCGCCGTATACATGTGTGCTCGCACGGCACCGCTGTTGCTTCGTGCCCGTCGTCACGAATGGGTGTGCATTCGATGCCATCATGCCACGAGTTCTTGGAGCACCATGTACCGCGCATGACACGCCGAGGACGCACACAGCGCGCGCGGTCAAACGAGCAGCGCATGGACGTACTCCATGCCCGCCTTGTGCTTCAAGACGTTTCCCGTACACGTTGCCGTTTCTCGGTGGCAGCAGTTTCCGACAAAACTGCTCTGCCCCCGGTCAGCAAGGTCCAAGGGGGGGCAGCACCGGCGCGACGGTGCATTTGTTGCCATGTCGAACGCCGCCGAGAAGGACATTGCGGACAAACCGGACGGCGACGGCCATAAAAAGGTACACGACGACAATATCTCGGTGCATGCACACGTTTCATGCCTGTTCAGTTCCAAAGGATATCGCTGGGATGCCTCACCGTCAAGAATCCCGTCCGGCGGCTGTGCATCAAGATCGTCACGTGGAAGTGGTTTGACCGCGCGATTGTGTTTTGCGTCGTGTTCAACACTGTGATCCTGGGCCTGACCGACTACACGGACGCGTGGGTCGAAGGGCCCAACATGACGATCTGGATCAACTGGTTCATCGACAAATGCAACAGCGTCAGCTTTTGGATCTTTCTCGCCGAAGCCACGGTCAAAATCGTCGCGATGGGGTTTTGCTTTGGCGAGCGCGCCTACTTTAGCGACGGCTGGAACCGCCTCGACCTCGTCATCGTCGCGTCCGGGTACACATCCACGGCCGACGGCTCTGCTTGCACCGCTTGATGCAATCGACGTAGGGTGCTAGCCATGCTCAACTTCAAAGGGGTCAAAGTCGGGTACATTCGAGTGTTGCGCGTGATGCGACCGCTGCGGACGTTGCATTCGCTGCCTGGTGCCCGTCGTTGTTGGTCATGGCTAGCGCGCCCACCACCGTTTTTTGCTGTAGGTCTCAAGGTCCTCACGAACTCGCTCCTGGCGAGTTTGCCAGCACTCGCCAACGTATTTGTGCTGCTCATGTTTTGCACGTTGGTGTTTGCCATCCTGGGCATGGAAATGTACCGCGGGACATTTCATTATCGGTGCCGGGCGACGCCGTTTCCCGTCGCATTGCCCCCGAACGGCACGTTCAACTACCCACCGAATGCGTCGTACATTTCGACGGTGCAAGCCGCGCCCGACCTGTTTCCGTGCATGATGGGAAGTGCGCCGATTTCCCAAAACATGTCGGTGTGGCCCGAGCCGCAAGACTGCTTTTGGCCGTCGGATCCTGGGGAAAGAACCCCCAAGCTGTGCAATCCAAACAGTGCTGTGGGTCGCCAATGCGTCGCCGGCTTTGTGTGCGGCTCCAACTACGACAGCGAAGGAAACCCTCGCTTCAAGTACATGGAGCTCGCGCCGTGGAACCAAAGCAGCGGCGACGATGCGCTATTCCATTCGAATTTGAACTTTGGGTTCACGAGCTTCGACAACCTCGGGCGGTCGGCCATTATCATCCTCCAGACGCTGACCGCGTCCGGGTGGATGGTGCTGACCCAGACGACCCAGTCGACGGGGAGCCCCGTCGTGGGCGGCATCTTCTTTACCGTGCTCATGTATGTCGGCATGTGCTTCCTCTTGCAGCTCAACATGGCCGTCCTGTTTTCCGAGTTCGAGAAGGCCAAGGAGCAGCAAGCCAAGCTCCAGCTCAAAGAAATGTACGTGGACGCGTGTTTCGTGGACACTACGGTCTGCAGCGTCGTTGTGTAGGCAGCGAAAGTCGGTTCTGCTGGCATCCCTGCCGCCCGAGCGCGCCAAGCCGAGACCTGTCCACGTCGCCGCGGCCCGGGCGCCGTCGTCGCGGCTCAGCATTGCCGTCCAGTCGTCGTGGAGGCGGCACGTCTCTGCAGTCCGCACTCGAATGAGCACACTCGTCAAGTCCAAGCCGTTCATCAACTTTGGCTTGGTCGTGACCGTGCTCAACATTGTCATTCTTGCGCTCGACCACCACGACATTGACATTGAGGCGAAAACGATCTACGAAATGATCAACTTTACCTTTATGGTGTACTTTGGTGTGGAGTCGATGGTCAAAATGATCGGCCTCGGGTTTCGCCACTTTTGGATGTACGTCGCTGCCTCTCTCTCTCTCGGCCTTTCATCACTCGATGTTGTGTGCAGCGACAAATTCAACCGGTTCGACGTGCTCACGTTTGTGCTGGGTGTGGTCGAAGTGATTGTACACCCTCCGACATTCATCGACGGCACGCCGGGGGGCGGCGGCATCTTTACCGCGTTCCGCGCCGCCCGGGCGTTCAAGCTCGCGCGCATGTGGAAGTCCCTCAACCAGCTCTTGACTGCGATCTTGACGTCGTTTGGCGAGATCCTCAACTTTCTCCTGTTCCTCGTTCTGTTTCTCTTGATCTTTAGCCTCGTCGGCATGGAGGTACGACGGATCGCGATGCCGATTCTCGTCCCACCCGTCTCTAGCTGTTTGCGACCAAGTACCAGTTTGACCCCAACAACTTTGCCATGCCGTACAACAACTCGAACCCACAGGCGCGGCTCCACCGGTCCAACTTTGACTCGATTCAGTGGGCGTTTTTCACGGTGTTTCAAATCCTCACGTACGATAACTTTCCTGCCGTCATGTACGATGGATGGATTGCGGTCGGCACAATCACGCCGCTCTACTTTGCGCTTGTCATTATCCTTGGCGTGTTGATCGTGATGAACATGTTTTCTGCGATCTTGGTGCAAAGCGTCATGGTGGACAAGGACGATGATGACGACGCGATCGACGACGTTGTCGGCGCCGCGATCGAGTGTTCGACAGGGAACGATGGCACCACGGCAGCCGCCAACGGCCTCGACACGTCGGGCGGCCACGGAACCGAACACGATGCGAGTGTGCCCGTCGTCCACAAGGCGAACACCAAGCCCGACAGACGCGGCACGGTGACTCCGCAACGCCTACGCATGACCAAGCGCGCGATGCAGCAGTTGATGCGCATGATCAACTCGTCGGCGCCGCCCGCCGAGTCGTCCAACGGCGGCGGCGTGCTTGCGGACGACAACACGGGAACCGTTCAAGTGAATCCAGGCAAAAGTCTTTACATCTTTTCGCCATCCAACCCGATTCGACGCATGTGCACGTTGGCTCTCCGGCGGCGCGAGTACACATGGGTGATGAGCACCATCATCTTTGTGTCGTGCGTGGGGACAGCGCTCGATTCGCCCCTGCAAGACTCGACGACGGGCCTTGGCCTCGTCCTGGACACGTCCAACTTGGTCTTTGCCGTGTTGTTTTCCATCGAAATGGCACTCAACGTGATCGCGCGGGGTCTGCTGTTTGGCCCGGACGCGTTTGTAAAGGACTCGTGGCGGCTCCTCGACGGCTTCATCGTGTTCGTGTCAGTGTTGCCATTCTGTCTGGGCAACGCGAAGGGAGGCGCGCTGTCTGGTCTCCGGTCGCTCCGCGCGTTTCGAGCGCTGCGGCCGCTGCGCGTGATCAACAAGCTGCCGTCGTTGAAGATCGTGGTCAACACACTGTTTCGATGCATCCCGGACATGGGTCGCGCGCTGCTGTTTGCGTTCTTCATGCTGTTTCTGTTTGGCCTCATGTCGCTGGCTCTGTTCAAGGGTGCGCTCAACACGTGCTCCGTGAGTCCGTACAACTACGGCCTCGGCACGGGCGTCCCCGTGAATCCTCCGTGGTTTCCGACAGATTACACGGGCGATTTCAACATCGGCAACATGACGCTTCTGGAGGAACTGGACGTGATGACGTTCCCAAGGCCATGGGCAGCGATGACGGACTCGCAGCGGGACGCGTTGCGTCCAGTGTGGAATACATCCCGCACCTGCGGTCCGTTCGCGGACGACTACCCGCCGACGTCGCGGGACATGTGCCTGTGCTTTGCCGAACAAAATGGCACATCGTGGGACCCACTGGCGCCGCAGCGCTTTGACAACATTCTGCGCGCCGTCGGAGGGCTGTACGAGCTCACGACGATGGAAGGGTGGACGGCCGTCGCGATTGCGTGCATCGACGCGGTCGACGAAAACATGCAGCCGATCGCCAACCACAACCCGGCCATGATGCTGTACTGGTGGCTCTACATCATCATTTGCGCGTTCTTCATCACCAACTTGTTTATCGGTGTGCTGTGCGACAGCTTCCAGCGCGAAAGCTACGGGTCCATGGTCACGGACGAGCAGGTGCGATGGATCAAGCTCCAGAAGAAGGTGCTCGCGATGTCGCCGCTCCGGTCGTTTCCGCGCCCGACCAACGCCGTCCGCGCCATTTGCCACCGCATTGCCACGTTGGCGTACTTTGAGCACTTCATCACGCTCGTGATCTTGACCAACACGGGGTGCATGGCCGTCCAGGGCTTTGGCCAGTCCAAGGCGACCGAGCTAACGTTCAACCTGCTCAACTTGGTCTTCTCCGTCGTGTTTACGTTGGAAGCAGCGGTCAAACTTACGTGCTACGCGACAGTGTACTTTGAAGACGGATGGAACCGCTTTGACTTTGTCATTGTCGTGTTCACGCTGCTGAGCATGATGCTTCAAGCGGTCAACATCAACGTCGGGTCGGCCGCGACCGTCATCCGCGTCTTCCGCGTCGGCCGCGCACTACGTCTGATCAAGAAGGCCAAGATCATGAAGAACCTGTTCGACACACTCATCGTGTCGCTGCCGGCCGTCGGAAACGTCGTCAGTTTGCTCATGCTGCTCTACTACATCTTTGCCGCCGTCGCGGTCCAGTTGTTTGCCAAAACGGCGTTCGACGGGGACATGATCAACGAAGACCAGAACTTTCAGAGCTTTTGGACGGCGTTCCAGACCTTGATTGGGTTCTCGACGGGCGAAAACTGGGACAACTTTACGTGGGAAGTGTACAATCAAGTGCCAGCGACCAACCCGTCGTGCGAAGACCGATCGTACGACCCGACCATGTGCGGCTTTAACGACGTGCCGGGATGCGTGCCGCTTGACGGGTGCGGAAGCATGCTCATCCTGCCGTTCATGTACTTTTTCTTCCTCATCATGGGGTACGTCGGCATCAACTTGTTTTCCGGGATCGTGGTCGACGCGATCGGGGACTCGTCGAGCAATTGCCCCGTCAATGTCAACACGCTCGCCGAGTTCTCGGACCGGTGGGCGCAGTTTGATCCGTCTGGCACGGGGCTCATCACGGCAGAGGAGCTGACCGACTTTTTGTACACCGTGTACCCGCCGTTCGGGTTCAAGGGCGTGCCGGGGTTCACGCGTCGGCGGGTTGTCATTGCGATCGGTACGCCCCCGTCGAGAGACTGCGGGATGCTAGTTTGAGCACATGCCACGATATACACTTGGCACACGAGAGTCACGGCTACGATGTGTAGGGGAGCTGGACATTGCCATCTACGACAAGAAGTTCGTGCACTTTAAAGATGTTCCTCGCGCGCTGGTCCAGCGGGTGCTGGCGGAGGTACCATGAGTCGGTAAAGTCGGCATCTGCTGATGGAGTCGCGCGCGTGTGCTAGGGAGACAAGGCCAAATACGCCGAGATTACCGAAGTGATGGAAAAGCTCGGGATTAACCGCCAATTCGACGAAATGTGGTTCCGAAACCACGGCAAGCGGCATCAGAACACGCTGACCAAGCGGCATAAAGCACACGTGAAGGAGTACTCAGCGTCCGTTGTGATTCAGCGATTCCTGCAGCGCGTCCGTTTGGAAAGAGCCCGACGCGAAGGCGGGTCGGCGCGGAACCTGTTGAAACGGTCGAGTGACAGTCGGGCGTCGAATGATGGGGCCCACACGGATCAACCGCTGCCGCATCCTCATGACAAGGCCATAGACGAGATGAACGTCACGTCCTTCGGTAGTCAAGCGTATGTCGGAGACCCGAGCAGCACAGCCTACGTCACCACCTTCATGACCGCGACCGCCTTGATCGACGATCTCCAGCACGCAGTCGACGGTTTTGCGTAGAAGATTGTATGTTAATTTAAAAACCAATTTTGAGCTATTTTCACATTTAGCAAACCGTATTTAAAATAGGTGTTAAAATCACGGCGCATTCGTGTTGTTTCTAAAGTGCATAAACAACATGCATTCGGGATTAAAAGAACGCCATGGCCGCCGAACTTTCAAGAATGAATGTGAAATGAACAAGTTCTTGGTAGTTTTGAACACGTTTAAAAAATACTCGTGGTCTACATGGATTGGTTTCGACGCAATAATATTGTGCTAGGCGGGCCGTTTCAATACAAAAATAAGATAAGTGGCATTTTTGGCATATACTATTTTGCCTATTTTTATTCGGCTAGGTTGGATGAGTCTGGATGTTACGTGGTGTGCGCAGTTGAAATTGCATGCTCATCCAACACTGCGGCCACCGATGAGCTCATCCGTTCCGACTTCGTCCGAGGCAGGCAGCAGCAGCGGCGCGGCAGAGGAACAACTTAGCGTATTCTTCAACGTCGCGGGATTGTACCAGAAGATTGTCGTGCAAGACGGGTGGTTCGTCGGCGACCTGATCAAGTTTATGGCGAAAATTTCAGCCAACTTGCATCCACATGCCGATGTCCCCGAGTGCAACGCGATCCGGAACAGCCAAACGCGAAAATTTGTTGCGCTGGCCGACCCTGCCACCCGGGCCCTCGTCCATGGCAACTTGTACGACCTTTTGTATGTTGAAAAGGCGGCTGGGTCCAAAGTGCCGCTTTTGCCGCCTCTCGCGCTTCACGACGAGATCCAACTGGTCTTTTACAACAACCCTCTCGGCATCACGATCAAACCGGCCGGCGATGGAACGTACGTGGTTGCGACGAAGAAGAAGGAGCTCAACTGCTACCGCCGGTTGACACCTGGCATGCAAGTCGTGAGCTTCGGGCCGGCGTTGCTCACTGGCATGGACTTTCGAGAGTTTCACACGACGATGGCCAATTCCGTTTTTCCGCTCACGGCTGTGTTCCGTGCGACGGCCGAGTCCATCGAGGCCGGCGACAACAACGTGGCAGTGCCGTCAACGCCCACTCCGACAACGATTGACAGTCCCAGCGGTCCAGAGGTCGCTCCCACCACTGCATCGCCAAAGGCTATGCCGGATCTCGAGCCTGCATGCAAAGTAACGAAACGTGATATTGAACAAGCCGCTGCCAAACTTGAATGACCATGGATATTCGTGTAGGAGTGGTCGTCGACCGCCCCCGAGTCGAACCAGCCTGTGCCGCCACCCACTTCAAGCGGTGACACATTCAACGTCCCAGTGCCTGTAGTCTTTCATGACGATGGAACTGTGGAGAGTCGCGTCCGGCGATACCGACCCCAATCGGAATCGTTCTCGCCCCGAAACAGTATGAACTCACCCCAGCCACGCGAGTCCATCACGTCGGCGACGGCGGACCCAGTGCCGTCGGCGACGCTGCAGGACGAGGCGCGTCTGGAAGAAGGCTTGAAGTCGCTGAATGAAGCGTTTTACAAGAAAAAGCGTGAACTCAACGACATCGTCGATCGCATCCGCGAGTACACGCAGCAACTGACGGCGGTCCGAGCCGCCATGAGCGGGATGCAATTGAGCTCGACGACGGCCGCGCCGCCGCTCACTCTGGACATGCTTGAGCGGCAAAACAACAACGCAGGGGCAAAAATGCCGCGCAAGCCATCGTCCGTCGTGTCGGGAGTGTCGTCATGCACGTCATCGATTCTCCACAAAGCGACCGCAACCCAACCGCCGTACACATCGTCCCGCCATGGATTCCTTCCGCCCAAATCTCGAACAGGAAGCAGCATCGCATCCAAGAGCCACCAACACCTGTCGTCGTCGACGTCCGTGTGTTCGTTGACGTCGACGTGCTCGATCGATCGCATGGCATTCAAGAAGAATCGCCTTGGCAAGTACGGCTCGGAATCGGCGGCGACGCTGAGCGGCCGCACCAAGAAGACGTCGACACTCAACACGAACGCGTTCTCGAGCACGCTGCAACTTCCCAGCTCGTTTTCGACCAAAGGCGCCGTGATACCACAAGCACAAACCCCACGCGGGTCGGCCTTCCTCAACCCCAAGAGCACCACGCCCGGCGTCGGCCACTACGACGTTAAGGACCTGACCAAGAACGTCCGGGGAGGCGAAATCGGCGACTCGGACCGCGACTTGACGTGGAGTTAGTGCCTAACCGCGAAACTTGGCGAGATGCTGTCGCTCCGTTTGATGTGGCAGGGGGCACATCGATATCGTCGCCATTCGTGGCTTGTCCGTCGACTAGAGCGTACGTGAGGTGAAACCTGGAACGCGCGGTGGCGTAGGAAGCCAACGCCACGAGATGCATGCTGTTGTCGCTGAATGCAAGCGTGAGAGCGCGCGGTCGATGCCCACGTACGGCAACGCGACGCTGGTCGGCGCCACGGTGCCTCGCTTGGGTTGGGCTGCCCGGGGCACAGATCTGCGTCCGCCTGTCCAGTTGGATAGGGTTGTTCATGCGTGTCCAGCGCGCGTGCGACTCGGCCGACGGCTGCCAGCGCATCCACTGCGTGGTGTGGTTGCTGTCCAGTATTCTCTAGTGATTCATGGCTGGTGCCGTGGACAGATCGTGTTGGGCTGGTTGTCCCTTGGAGGGACGAATAAATATGATTTTCAGGTTACAGCGGGCGGCGGGCCCGGCCAGCGGCTCTAACAATTCTCTAACGAACGAAATCCACTAGTGGTGGTGATGCGCAACGGCGGCGACCGAGCTCGGGGACGGCTCGTCTTGCGTGCCCTTGCTAAAATGGTGAAGGTAGTGCGACCACATTGCGTGAAAGCAGTCTTGGATCTCTTCGACGACGTAGCCGCTGCCCATCTCGATTTCTTCTCGCCACACGGGCCTAAGGCAGCGATGACGTCAATGGTTGAGGGAAAACACGCGAGTCGTACGTTATGTGCACGATGCGGCGGGCCACGCAAAGCATTGCGGTCGCCAAAACCGACGGCAGCCACTGGTTGAACGCGTACTCTTGTAGGCACATCTCGGTCAGGAACTCGACGTGCTTGGCGTACACGGTGGCGTACGCGGCAGGGTCGGTGAGCTGGTACCCGTTGATGTCGTCGTCCGGGAAGAGGGGCGGGCTGGTCAGGTAAAACTCGGTGAAGTGGATGGGAGTGAGCACGTGGAGCTGCCATTGGAGGCTGCACAGAGCATGAGGATGACGCGGCGGAACGGAACGACAACGACGTACGCTTTGAGCATGGCCATTTCGTATGCCTTGATTTCGTCGACAGAGTATTGCTGGTGGCCGTATGCATAAATTTCTTCGATCGTGGGGACTTCGCAGTCCACGGACGCAAACTTGGTCGCAATCCAAAGACACACGAGGCACACGAGCTGGAGCTTGGACTGAGGCGGCAGCGCACACGGGGCCTGCACGCATGATGAGACGACGAACATGGAGAAACAGGATCTCTACGTTGAGAAGGCGATCGAGATAGTGGATGGCGGTGTGGACGACAAGCTTGGGGAGCTCGAGTTCCTCGCCGACGTCGCATGTCCAGTCGACCAGGATGAGGCGCACCTGTTACGAGCTGCATGTGAGGTGTCTGTCGCCCCTGGCATGGAATCGGGCAAAGCCATCCACCCAGCCACACCATCACGTTGGTACCTTGAGGTAATGTGGCTGCGGGGCATATTGAAACTGGGCCCGCTCTTGGGCCAGCATCGAGCTGTACCATTCGTCCACGAGTTCCATGTCGACGTCGTCGGGGGAGGCGGTCTGCATGGTGGCCGTGTCAAAGTGTTCTTCGCACGAGAGATTTGTCATGCTGGAGGCACTGGATCGGGTTGTCGAGAGTGCTCGACCACGTGGTGGGGCGGTCGATGGCATTGAGTTTCGGAGGCACTCCGGTGCCGTTCCCGCCGCGAAACGTGGGGCGTCACGGTATCCGGACGGTTACCTTGCTGAATATACACCAATCAAAACCCTTCATGGCAGCATGCGCACGTTGGATTGGTCCATATTCAACTCGCACCCCGGGCCGCCATGCGTTCCCTCTCAAACCGACACGGGTTCGCGCGACGAGACACCCAATCAAGAGCCAGGATTTTCCAACTTGAGCGCCCTTCATGTCGGCCAATGCCGCGCTCTTGGCCGTCGCATGACGCGCGGACGTACGACCTCCAGTGGTGGGAAGCGACTAGCTTGCGGCCGACGGTGCCCTGGTGTCTTGACGCTGCGTTGTGCCAGCGCCGTCCATGTGCTGTGACATGGACCACCTCTCCCGCTAGGTTCTTGAAGGGGCTGGAATGGAAGGGGGGTCGACCCGACGGGGGGGGGGCGGTGCCCCACCTGAATGAAGTCGCGTGCTCGTGTGTAGAGTAAGAAGGGGGCTTTCCATCAAGCATTGTGCGCCGGTGCACTCGTCGCGCGGCGCGTACACAGGCGGGGGTTCATTCCCTCTAGAACATGATTATTCATTGTTGAGTCTTTGCAAATTAATATTCCACGAAACCTGAAACCGCCGTCGCATCCGACGCACTTTTCGTTCAGTCGGTTCGCCATCATGTACTACCGCCGGCGATCCTTGATGGACGCGCAGCCGGTGAGCGTGTTGGACGTGGTCAACATGGGCCTGATCTTCATGACGGTGGCGCTGACGGTTGGCACGAGCGTCATGGTCCTCCAACGTACACATTCGACAATGGTGGCATCGAGTCTGGCATGATGGCCAAGTGTCACGAGCTCGCACAGCACCGTCCATTATTTCGATTTGCGCGGCCAGGTATGGCACAAGCACGTTCCCCTCCTTCGATCCTCCAAGCCCTCGATAACAATTGTAATGTACGTCGCAGCCGTGCCGTTATCCTTTGCATGGGCCGGACGTGAAAAACCACCGTAAATTACAACGAACGCTTTAGTCGTCCAGCTGACTAAGCATTGCAACGCCTCGTGCAACCCAGTGGGCTTCGGGGAGGTTTGTGGGCAAGCGAATGAAGCAGATAAAGTTGGTCGAGTGGCCTGTCGTCGACAGCGTTCCTCGGCGTTCGCTATTCAAATAGGCGTTAGCCTTTCAGAACTGAATGGCCCTCACGCCGCCGCCGCGTTCATGTACCTCGTCTTGTAGACAGGGCAGTTGTACGACTTTTTCGGAACTAGATCGGACTTCTTGGTCGGGCGGAACCACAGCACGGGGCCGCTCGTGAAGAGCACTTTGGGCTGCGATTCCGTCAACTGCGCTTCAACCTTGTTCCATCGACAGCCTTCGAGAAAGAGACCTCGCACGTACACGCCGTCCTACACGAATGCGTTTAGGTGCCAGAGACGTTGCCGGGGTCGCAAAGACGTGCCATACCTTGGGACCAGAGGCGTAGTCGGAGCGGGGCATGGCTTCGTGATCAAAAGCAATTTGATCTATACACAAAAGTCCATCAGGTTTCCATGGCGACATCGCACAATTTTCGTGGCAAGACAGCTCGCAAGGAGGCGGCGAACGTACCGATAGGGATCGTATAGCGCCGGGCGAAATTTTGGTTTGCACCGGTCAAAAACGCCTGGGTAAAGAAAAACCCCGAGATCCAAAAGATGGGCGGCGGCGCTGCTTGCAACCACGCGTTGAAGAACGCAATGCGCTCGAGCAGGTCGCTCACATAGCTCGCGAGAGGTTTCAGCGACGGGTACGACTTGGCAATCCACATGGCTGGAATCTTTCCGTAAAACAGCGACAAGCTCAGGTTTTCGAGCTCTGCCGACATGACGACTAGGCCTACACTCGGGAAACGCATGAACGATGTCGTCGTGTCGATCGAGGCGCGACGGGAGCGCGGGTGATGACACGTACCTTGAATCGCCTTGCGAACGTTTTTGAGGGACAAGCGAACAACGGTCAGGAGGTTGTTAAACCGCACGAGTTCCTGGCACAACACTGTGTTCATGCTTTCGTTCCACTTGACGGGGTATCGAATCGCGGCCAGTTCCATGTCGTAGTTGTCGGGCAAACGACCGAGGATGTCGGCGGCCATGGCGTCCACAGTTTCTTCTTGGCTCAAGCCCTTGGCATCGCCGCCACCGCCGCCGCCGCCCGACGACTGCGTGCGCAGGACGTTCGTGCACAAGATGGTGGTTTCGTTTTGGTCTTTCGTGATTGTGGCGTTGTCATGCAGCCCAAACACGTTGGGCGGGGCCACGAGCGGCAGTCCTTCGATGTACTTGAGGTACCTACAACCGTCCATGTCATCGTTCGTGGTCCTTCGTCATCGCGATGGACAAATGACGGGGAGGGTACCCGTCGTAGGGCAGATCCGGCGGCACCACGTACTGCCCTCGCTCGTCAAAGCTGTACGAGTCGGCGAGGACGTCGGTCGTGTAGAATCGTCCGAGTAAACACGCCAGCGTCCGCCGGTCTTTGTCGTCGGTGACACGACCACCGTAATTGCATTCGCCGGTGCAGTACCTGTCGACGGAGAAGCATCAGCACACCCGAGAGATGGCGCCACATCGTGCGTACCGAATCGCGCCCCACGGAATGACGTCGTTTTCGTCAATGAACATGGCAAGCTGCCGCGTCGAGATGCTCAAGTCGGACTCGTTGAATTCGTACTGGATATTCCATCCGAGCGGCCCAAACTGCCGACGTTCTCGGACCAGGGCATGAAAAAAGCACAGCGCAAAGAGCAGTCGGCGAAACTCGCCGCCCTGGTTCATGTACGATTACAATAATCGCATCGTGGTGGATGTTGCTACCTTGTTCACCGAGTCGAGGAAGCCCGGCTCGGCGATCGGATCGAGCAAGTACGACCCCATCAAGTTGGCGCGGAGGCCTTTGGGCGGTTCGTTGGTCATTTTAACGCCGTTCTGGAGCACGGACGGCGGGAAGACCGGCGACGGATACGTTGTGCACCACAGCCGAAAGGTCGGGCTGGTCGAATCAATCTGGCAAACAAGCGCCACGTGCAGACTTCCAACTCGAATATGACCATGTACGACCGTACCTTAATGCCTTCGGTGATGCGCTCCAACGTTGGCATCCACGACGGGGCCAAGTGGCAATTTTGGAGCACAACCCAGCTTCCTGTTTCCATGGCAAGGGATATCATGCGTTCGGCAATCGGTCCTTGGCCTTGGCCGAGCGATATGGTATCAATCTTTTGCTTGCTGGCGTCGGCGAACTTGAGGACGGAACTGATGGGGTCGCTGCCGGGACTCAGGATAAACACTAGTGGGCTCTGGACGCTGCTGTCGCCATAGCACAGCGCCAAGTCGAACGGCGGTGGCTTGACGAAGGCTTCGCCCATCGTGACTACGACAAATTGCTGCGCCGCGACCACGACCAAGTCTGGTCGGAGGACACGGATCCCGAGCAGTCGGCGGAACGGCGTCACCGTTGCAAACGATCCGGGAAACGACAGCAAGTGGCCGGTCGGGCTGTCGTAGATGGTCTTCCACTCGGCCTGGTGGGTTTTGAACTCGTCGACGAGGCCCGTGTAGCACGGCATGTTGGCGAGGCGCACGAGCTCGTTCCATTGCTTTTCGCTAAACCAGTCGGCGCACGGGTTGGGGGGCGGCGTGTCCGAGAGCGCGACCCCGCCCGTCAAGAAGAAATACCATTCGGTCGCGTCGATTTCGTTCCGGCCTTGCATGATGGACACGGTGAGAAGGAACGAAAACATGAGTTTGTCCTTTTCGAGCAGCGACCGGCAAATGTTGCGGTACAACGAAAACGTAAAGTGCGTATCGAGGACGTGGAGCCGGCTCGCGAGCTCCGTGCTGCGCTCGCTTTGCTGAATGCTCAGCACGAACAGGTTGATAAACCATGACAGCGAGTACTGGTACACCGGTTCGATGTTGGCGAGCTGGTCGATACAAAAGAAAAGCACTTGCGACGCATACGCGACCGGGCGGTACCCCTGGCGGACCGCGTCGATTTCGAGCTCCGTCGCTTCGGCAATCACTTGCTCCGACTTGATTTGGTCCGCCACTTGCTTACCTTGATTCATCGTGTTGATTGCGGACTCGTCCTCGAGGATATTGCCTTCCGACGACGACAGGATTTGCAGCGTCTACGCCGGACGAACCCATGCATCAACAACGCGACAACCCACGTCGGTGGACCCATGCATACCTTGTCCTCGATGTCCTTGAGCAGTGCCTTGTTCTTGGCGCTTTGGACAATCAGTTTGTTCTTTTGCTCTTCCAGGTCAGGTCGTTCCTCGGCGACGACAATCCCGAGGAGCTGGTCCTCGAGGCCCTGCGGCGTAATCATAAAGTTGAGGAGCGTCACTTTCACCGACACTTCGGGCAGGTAGTGTGGGTTCCGCAGCTTGGTCGTGACGTAGAACCGAAACGAGTCCGCGTACTCGATGTTGGCATCTCCCAGCCGAATGAACAGGCTGCCGCCCTGTTTGAACGTTTGCTTGAGTAGCAGCGGCTCGAGGCTCGGGTCGAGCTCCTCGCCAATGTTTTCGAGGAGAACGGGGCGGCCGAACTGGACGGCGTTCTCGAGTGTGCGCAAGTAGTCGCTGTCCGTGAGTTTGATCACGTACAACCCGTGGTCGTGCTCCATGTTGCGTATCCACTTGTTCGCTTGGCCTTGGGGGTCGATCATGAGCGGCCACCGCCGCGCGTTGAAGACGACGATTCCGTTGTCGATGCTAAACATGTCGGTGGGCAGCCCGTCGATATTCCACTTTCGAATTTGAACCGGGTCCCCCAACGTCCCCGACAACGACGGCAAGTCGCTGCACGGTATCTCGAGTGCCTTGCAGCGGGCGACCCACGCGGTCACGGCCTGCGCTCGGTACACGGACGTGAACGGTCCTGCAAGAGCCTGTGAATGTTGCTGCCCCCTCGGGTGCAACAAAAACGTTACCGAGGTACGCGACAATGCCGGCAGATATCAACGCATCGCCCGTGAGCTTGGTGTACTGATTTGCGAGCTGCGCGCTAAATTCCTTCCACCGGATTTTTTCGCCGCCCAAGCTGTCGATCAGCGTCGCAGCGCGGACGAGTTTTTTGCCGGTGAGGTCGATCTGGCCTTCCAGCGACACTTTCGAGTCGGTCGCATCTTGGAACGCTTTTTGGAGCCCGTCTAGACCTACGTCGAGTCGGGCCGTTGTCAGCGTTCGAGACAAGGGGCCGAGAGTCGTACCGTCTTCGACTTCTTTGAGCCGACAGAGCTTTTCATTCAAGCTCGCCATGGTTTCCTGCAATTGTTTCTCGGCGGCAGCTAGCGCTTCTCGTTTTGGAGCCACGACCTGGGTCGTTTCAGTCAGCGCTGGATGGCCTGGACGAGTGAACGAACCTTGCTCACGTTGTCATACAGCGCCATTGCATGGACCCATTTACACAGCCCCGCGGCGGCCTTGGATGCTTTTTCGGCCTTTTCCGGGCTAAAGTTTTCATCGGCAATGTACTTGGACACAACGACCTGGAGCGAACGCCATGAATATTCAAGTGCGCGCGCGCATGTCTCGTACCTTCATGATCTTGGGGTCCAAGTTGTCCTTGTCGAACTTCTTGAGCTGCTGGATGAACGTCGAGTCACTGAGCATTTTGACGGACGGTCCCCAAAAATCCATGATGCGCTTGCTTGGGTCGGCGGGGTCCGGGATCCGGTTTGGCTTGATCCCAAGCATGACACACACGCCTTCGCAGACGAGCTTGACCCCCGCGGGCGGGTTTGCCATGGCTTTGACTTCGTTGATTTCGGACGCTTTGATCGTGTCGAGGGCCTTGAGCGCCTCTTCTAATGCGGGCACGGCTTCGGCCAAGTCGGCTTCAACGCTGGCCTTTTGCGCCTCGCACTGTGCTTTGGATGCGTCTGCGATCGCCACGTCCGCTTGCACTTCAGCTCGCGTCTTCTCGACCCCAGGCAACTTGGCTTGGATTTCCTCCATCAAGACCTACGACGTCATGTGGTTGAAATCCCCTGCCACCCAAAGCAAGTGTGTACCGCTGTGTCCTTGGTCGACTTGTCCAGGATCGGCTGCATGTCCACGAGCTCTTTCCGCATTACGCTCACGTTCGCCTCGGCAAATTGAATCTTCTCGAGGCCAACGTCGTACCGGAGCTTGGCCTTCATCACGCTGTCCCGACGCTGGCCCAGAAACGACTTGAACGCTACGATGAGCTCCAAGTACGAGGTGGGGGTCACGTAATTTTGGCGGCGCAGGCAGCGCAGAAACAAACTGCTGAGCTCTTCCACTTGTACGTGAAAGTACTGGCACGTGGCGACGATCCCGCGTCGAATCGAGTCGCTTTCCATTTCGACATCCCGGAGAAACTTCTCGGCCACCGCGACCAACGCGTCTGCCGGCCATGCCGTGAACCAGTCGATTGTGCAGCAATTGATCATGGATGGAAACTTGCGAAGGCGGTCGCGGAACGCGTCCCCAATGGGCGAACATGCCAACACAATGTGGAGTTGTTGGCGAACCTAATGTCCACCAACGTGTAAAACGAATCGACAAGACGTCCCACAACTTTGTCGTAGGATTCGGTGGCGTACCCGCTGAACAAAGAACGCGTACAGCTGCGTAGGTGTCATGTCCGCCGCTGCTTTGCCAAATTTTTCTTTGGCATGTGGTCGCACGCCTTCACAGAGTCCGACGCGCTCGTCGTACGGAAATAAATTCGGGATCTCGCCCGCGTTCAGCATGTTGTTGATGTCTTCAACGAACGCTTCGTACTTGATTTGGGTGTCGCTGAAGAGAAACACGAGCGGCCGCGCGCCCGTCCCGGCCGTCTTGAGCACGTACTTCATGTCTTCGCGCCACTCGAGCATCGAGTAATTTTTGGCGATCTCAATTTGCTTGACTTCGTAGTCCATGATAAAAGCCGCGAGCCGTGTCAAGCTTTGCCGGCCACTGCCCCCCACACCCACGAGCAGCGCGTTGCCACGTGGCATCTTGAGGACGCGCGCGATCCGGCTCAAGTGCTCAATCGCAAACAGAAACATGACCAAGTTCATGGGTTTCCGTGACACCGCGTTGAATTCACCCAAGTACGAGTCCAAGCACGCAATCAGTTGCGCGATGCCGTCCACGTCGGCATGGCTCGACACGTCGATTTCCTTGTACAAACGTGGGTTCGCGTCCGGTTCCCTTGGGACGCGAGTTAGCCACACCACGTGTCGGCGATCAAACGAGAGCCACTCACCGATAGTCGCCAAAAAACAGGTTGCGCATGTCGTGCGGCATGACCGCGCCGTCCCGGCCGCGCTTCAACGACGCAAACACCTTGTCAAAGTTGGCGCTAAAGTGCTTGGCGACCATTTTCCGCTGCAACTCACAAAACCACATCCGACCTTCGTCGTCGATGAGGCGGTCCCCAATCACGCGCAGCGACTCGTGCACCCACAGCTTGACAAGACCCGTCGTGTTGAACTCGTCTGACGCCGTGACGAGCATAATGCCTTGAATGACGCGAGAAAAGTCGCGCAGGTTGAACGTGTAATGCGACTTTTTTGGCGTTGGCAAGAGCACCTACGACGGCACACGGCCCCACTGGTCAGATCGACGCACGGCGCCGGGTCTGTCGCACCTTCATGGCATTTTGGTACGTCTCAAGTGTCGCGGCGACGACGGCGTCCGACAGCTTGCGGATCTCGGGCAAAAACGGACCGCTTTGAAAGTACCACAACACGATCGTGGAGAAGATGCGCACGAGCGTGACGTCGTCAAATTCGGAAAAACACAACACGTTGAAGTGCCGTTGGAAGCGCGGCGAGATGGTGTTGCGTCCGCCGCCGGGAGGCCCCATCGCCGTGACCACGATCGTGTCGATGATTTTTTGCCACGTCATCTCTTTGAGATCATACCATCCGCCCGAATCGACAAACTGCCGCATGAGTTCGATCGGAGGTTGTGCGCCGTACGTTTCGATTTGCGGCATGTTGAGGTCATCCACGAAAATGATGCCATCTACACAAGCAACGTCGCATAAGAGACTAGACACCGCGACGAGTCGGGACCTTTTCCAACCGGGGGACCGTACACGCCTTTGCGCCGCTTGTCGAGCTTGCCGTCAATGATGTTTTGTGTCATGTGGGCCGACGTCTTGGCCGAAAACGACAGCATGATGACAGAGTACAAGTCGGCCGACAGCTTTTCGTTCAAGATCCCGTTGAGATAGCAACTCTTTCCGGTCCCGGTCGGGCCGCACACGAGGACTTTGCGCTTGTTTGTGACCAAGAGCTGGACGAGGCAGTCGAGCTGGGCGGTGTACGTCGTCGGGACAACGATCGTGCTGAATGGACTCGCGGGTGGAATCGTGTACTCTTTTAGGGTGTCTTCCCACCGCATCCACTTGGCTTCGTCGGCCGAGTACAAGTAGTCGTGGAGGTTGCCTTTGGCTGGCATCGGACTCGCCAGCGCGTACGTGTCAAACCCGGCCGGCTTGGTCCAGTTGCGAACCTGCAGCGCGCGGCCAACGATCACGTATTTGGTCGTGAGCACTTGCATCGAGTCCATGAACGCGCGCAGGAACTCGCAAAAGCGTGTGCGGCCGTCGGCGGACGACGTGGCGCCGATCGACCAGATCTACACAACGTTGTTGGGTACATCCACGGCGCGCGAGTGATGTGTACCAGCGCAAACAGAAACAGGCTCTCGAGGTGCTGCAGCCCCTTTTTCGTGCCGACGTCGGCCGGTTTTACAGTCAGCATCTCTGCTTCAAAAATATGGAGTAAGCTCTGGACCAAGTTGGCATCCACGGTAGTCGTGAGCTCGATCAGTTCCTTCCGGACAAAGCACAAGCACGGCTCGACAAGCCAGCTCGTCAGCGTTCGAATCGTCGTGCGCTGGTCGTCAGTGAGTTGCAGCTTTCGTTCGGCCGGGTCCGTTGGGAGAACCGCCGTCTGATCGAGCCACGAGTCCAAGAGAGGTTGCCACCCGAGTTGCTCGGGCTCCATGTAAATCATGCCGCATCGGGACACGGTCGCGGGCGACGCAACCAAGAGATCCATCGGCTCAAACATCATGCTCATGACGGGACTCATGGCAATGATCTCGCCGCTCATAAGGCAAAGCTTTCGGTTGTCGTCCAAGACCGTGTTCATGTTTTCGATCCAGACGGCATCCACCGGCCCGTCGAAGAGCAGCCACTTGCGCTCAGGGGTTGGAGATGTCGCGAGGTTGCGGTAGTTGATGGCAAGGACGCCGTCCGTCCATTCATGCGAAACATCGTCAAACTGGCCGTAGAGCTGGCCCATCGTGACGCTCTTCGGGTTGATCACCGACACGACCACGGACGTGTACCTAGCTCACGACAACGACCGTGGGTATCGCTCGATTGCGACGACAATCGAGGCGCTGCGGCAGTACCTCGAGTCGTTTGGGAACTTTTTGTGCAGCGTGTCCAGGACGTCGGCAAGCACCTTCCACGAACTGGACTTGCCCGAAAACGGCATGCCGACGACCATGAACCCGTGGCGGACAATCATCATTTCGTAGATTTGAATCACTTTCTCGATAAAGTTGGGGACGGGTTGGAGGCCCATGTGGTGGCACACGCTGTGGATGGCTTGGAGCATGTCCGTTCGGTCGGGTGGGTCGACAACGATGCCTGGAAACAAGTCGGACGTGATCCCGTTGAAAAGCGGGACGTCCGGCGACAGAAACTTGGGCAAGTTGACGTCAATGATCGACCGAAGGACGAGAATGTCCTCTTTCAAATGGCCCTCGCTACGCTTGAGGTTCCCCGCCGCGCGCAGCACCGCCATGACGGCACGCATGCCTAAGCGAGTGTGAGGCCTACAGGGAACGGCGAAAGATCAAACCCGTGTTGCGTACCATAGTCGTAATGCGACTGCGAACTCAGCTGCTCCGAACACAGCGTGTATGTGGTCGTGATCTTCTTGGACAGCGCACTCGCGTCCATGTACCCGTACGAGTAGAGCATGATTTCGGCAATCATGCCGTAGTCGGGCACCATCATGGCGACCGTGCGGAAGAGAACTTTCAAGTTGTCTGGTAGCTCCGCGCGTCCGGCGTACCCTGATACCAACGTGTGTGGGGTCCGCCCGCCGCCATGGATGGGGACGTACCGGGGTTCATCGTGATGAACGGGCAGCAGGTCGGGTTCAAACTGAGCAGCGTGCCTTCAAACATAAACGTGACAGCCTTTTGGGCCTTGGCGATTTGAATGCACAACACTTGCTGCGCAATCACAGACAGCACTTCGAGTTGGATGCGATTAAACTCGTCAAAGCAAGCCCAGGCGCCGCTGGAGGCGAGGCCTTTGAAGAACTTGCCCATGGCCAGGTAGTCGAGCCCGTCCGAGCAGTTGGTGACCACGCATTGAATTGCAATCGCCTTGCCAAGATCCTTGGTTGTTTCGGTTTTCCCGGTTCCTGCCGGGCCTTCCGGCGCGCCGCCCAAGTTCAAATGGATGGCGCCCATGAGAGTCCGGTAGCATCGATCGGTCAGCGGCGTAATCACGAGGCGCATCGAGTTGCCCAAGTATTCGAACGCGTACAGCGCGAGCGTGTTGATCATGCGACATTGCATTGTCCCGGGCTTGCCCGTTTGGGCAGAGCTGCCGCCGGCGACCCAGTAGTACCGCAACTGGGCAAGCCAGTCAAAATCGGTCTTCTCGCACACGTTTTTGTCGACGAGTTCAGCGATCGTGTCGCGGTTGTGCACGTCCATCACCACGAGCGCGCCCAACGTAATGCGCGTCAACTTGGGCAGTTGGCCTCGCACGAGCTCCACCGTGCGCAAGAGTTCGCTGCGTAGGGTCTACGAGCCCCGACATGACGTCGACAAGGACGACCGATGGAGACGCACCTTTAAGTGTTCCTTTAGCGGCTCCAAGCGGTTGCCCCCGACCAGCGCGGCTTCTGTCTGCGCTGTCCACACGGTTTGGTTGATGGCTAGTACGACTTGGCCCGGCCACTGCTGGACCCACTGCAGTCGGTCTTGCTTGGGATAGTCTTCCATGCTCAGGTCCACGTGATAGGCCACGCTTTTTCGCATCGTGACTTCGACCTACATGAATATGGATGGTGGAGGGTGGCGCGAGAGGGCAGCGGTACCTCCTGCAGCCAGATTTCAACATTGCCGCCGGTTGAGTTGGGGTTGATCTGGCTCTGGGCAATCTTTTCAAACAGGAACGGGACCTTTTCGTTCTCTGGGCTCAACATCGCCGTGATGTCCATGTTGGGCTGGAACTCGAGCAAGTTGATGCCGTCGAATGCCTTTTTCAGGTGGGGCTGCACGCGCAGCGGATCTTTGGTCTCGGCCAGTATCTCGAGCAATTCGTCGTTCGAGAGGAAGAAGAACCGGGGAAAATACAGCCGCTTCGTCTCCAAATACTCGTTCAGGCCTTTTTGAATCGTCTCGAGGTCTTCGTTGGACCGGACGAGCGCATCGAGCAAGCCTTTGCGCTGCGCGACTTTGGTCGCTTCCGGCTCGGCGATCGTGTCGTCCATGTTTTGTCGCCACGTGCTGTCCACTCGTTTGAACAGCATCCCTACATCAAATCACACGTGAGCTCTCCCAGCCATGCATTCGTTGAACGGCCATCCGTCCAACCTTCCGTCGGCATTTGGCGCATGATGTCGTCACTGCTGAAGATGGGCTCCAAATACAACCACGTGGCTTGAACCTTGAGCCACTGGTCCGTGATGTCTTGAATTGCCACCAAGATGGTCTCCCATCGCCCGATGCGTTCCAGGTACGGCTTGTTGTATCGGCTGCCACGAATCGACTGAATCTTCACCATGTGGTCATCCAGTTGCTGCTGCATTTCGTCCGTGGCGCACAGGATCGACGTTCCTGAAGCGGGAGCGCCACCAGTGAGTCCATTTCGCCACGGTGTCGATGAATCAAACCTGTTGTCCGATACGGCTTGGTATGGAATTCAACGCCTTCCCACTCCCGCTCCATCTTGTCGAGGGCTTGCTCGAGCGAGTATTCCTTGGCCGCGCCGACGCAAATGTCTTCGATTTGCGCCGTGAACTTGTGGAGCCCGACTTCGAGCATGTGGTGCAGTGTCATGTCGCCGGATGCTGGATGCAAGTTGAGCTTGGTGATGGCTTCGATTTCCGCCCAGTGGCGCGGACACAGCGCCGGCGTACAGATCAGGTGCATGAGCGGCACGTGGCTGTCTAGCATTTCGTCGAGCATCTTCTTGGCTTGCCGGGCAACGCCGACGGGCGCGTCCAAGATCTCGCCGACCTTTTCGCATTCCTTGATGACTTTAACAATGTTTCGGCGAAACCCGTCGGCCTCCTTCTCCGCGTCTTCCGCGTTGACCAGGTACAGAGGCTGGCCGCGCCACAAGTTCATTTGGTCGCTGAACTGGGCCACCGTCGTCCACAACTTTTCCATCGGCATGAGCATCTCCTGGAGCTCCTTGATCATCTTGTCGTTATCCGTGGGCGACATGTCCAAGATTGCTTGCTGGTCGCGAATTTTCTGCGCCTCGTCGTCGATGTCAGCAATCAACTTCATGACGGCCTCGATGCGCTTGGTGACGGCCGCCGCGTCTTGCATATTGCCGGCCTCGCGCAGCTTTTCAATCTTCTTCTGGCATGTGCCAAACGCAGTCGTGAGGTGCTCTTGGCGCGCGTCGACCACGAGCTCGAGCTCACGCTTTCGGTCGCGCTGTCGCTCCAAGCTCTTGCGCTGAAAGTTGACGACTGTGTCCGGCCATCGAAATGTCATGAAGAACTGCTGGACTTCCTCTCGCGTCATTTGGAAGTCGTGTTCTTTCAGAAATCGCACCGACACGCACACGCGGCTGTACAACTCGTCCTGGAGCGCCGCCAGCGTCGCCATGCTGCTCTCGTAAAAGAGCTGCAGCGTTTTGAGTTCGGCCGAGTCGATCGGGTCCGCCATCAGCGTTTGCACGGTCTGTTCGTACTGTTGTCCCATCGCGTTCATGTGGCGGATGTTCTCCGCCGACGCGCGGGACAGCAGCAAGTGCGACAAGTCCTTCACGCGCTGCCGGAGCAGGTCCTTGGCGTCGACGCAAATTACAGCAAACATGGGAAAGTAATAGTGGTCTTGAATCGACGTCATGATGGCCCTGTCCAAGTCCGCGAGCGCTTTCAACTCGATGCGAAGCACGGACAGATCCAACGGCGGTGGCACGTCGAGCAACGTGGTCAGACGCTGCTCCAGCGACCCGTCCAGCAGCACGTGGAATGGACGAAAGGCATCCAGGACTCGGGCTGCTTCGGCCAAATGTGTCGTCATGGCCGTAGCGATTTCCCTCTTCGCCGACACGACGAACGGGTCGTCCGACGTGAGGGTGCATGGGCCGAGGACAGCCTTGTTTCGGATGCGAGTCGGGACGCTTGTCTGGGCATCGATGCGGGGAAATACGCTCGCCGCTGCAGCCCAACAACAAAGTGAATCGGTGCAAACATCGAGTCGAAAACACGCACCTTCGACCAAGAGCGTCACACACGCCAGGATGCGTTCCTGGACAACCGTCGCAGGTGGATCCAATCGAACGAGCGGCATCGCCGCCACATCGTTCGTGGACGCCCCGGAAGAGCACACGACATCGAGAGCAAGAATCGCTTCGCCTTGGTCCCGCGCACATTCATGAAAGAACGAGAGAAACGTCATGACGGACGCATCCACAATGCTGCGCAGTTGCCGCGACATAAGCACCGACGCAGCGTTTAACACACCAATGTGGTGGTTGTACTGAAACAAGTCGTCCTCGACAAGGACGTCGTCGTCCGCGTTGTGGTGGTGGTGATGCGGCGAATGAATCGACGGCATCGACAACGGCGAAGACGTCCCCGGCTTGTGGAGTTCACGCGCAGATGTCTTCTACAATGGTCCCAACATTAGGCAAAACATGACGAGTCGGGGCATGCAGGGGTGCCTCGTATGGTTTGGTGGACGTCGTGCCCTTTGAAGCGGACTGGGTCGTTGCTGTCGCCGCCACAGGTGGCAAGCACGCGTCAACTTTTTTGGCGCTGGACGTGATCCAGTACGTCCGCAGGCAGTCCTTGACCACTTCGACCCGTCGAGTCATGTGGTCCACAAAGCTCGCGACCGTACGAGGCAGCGACGCGCGAAAGGAACGCGATTGCACATCCGTCCACAAAAGCTGGGCATACGGCGCCCACGGAAGGCCGTCGCGGCTCTAGGCACGTTGCTATGAGTGATTCGCTCGCAATGGACACAACACATGCACGACGACCATCCATTTGAGGCATCGCATGTGCACTAATTGTGGACCGAGCGCATTCGTACCTCCCACTCTGCCGGCGGGCCTTCCAGGATCCACTGCGCTTGCAAGGCTAAGAGTGCCGGATCCGCCGTGTGCAAAAACACTTCAACGTACTCGGCGCTCTCCTTGACCGTATCCCGATTCACGTGAGTCTGGCGAAGCACGCGCCACGCAAACGACGTGTACATGTCGTTTGTCCACCACTGCGACGCTGCGTGTAAGTAGGACGGGACAATGCCGAGGGTCGCGGCCTGGCGCTCGTCGAGAAGGGCGTACTGAACCATCGCCCGCGCGACCGCAGTCGTGTAGTCCGTGTTAACTTCGTCGAGCATCGTGCCAATCATGGCCTCGCAAATGGCCGCGTGCTGGGCTAGGAGATCGGGGACATGGCGGAAGGCGGGGGGTGGGAGCTGAAGCCGATGGAGAATCCCAACCGGCCATCGAGGATTCATCATGGCGACGGCGGCGACGTTGCCCTCCACTGCTTTCCAAAAGCTCGTCTTGGTCGTTTGGTACAAGTGGGCGTCGATCTGCAGCGTGCGGGGTGTCAGCGGCTCCAGCACGTTCTTCGTCTTGGCATGCGAGTGGTGCGAGCTGGGCGATTGCGGCAAATTGAGCCGAATGTGGTCGCGTTTTGTCGGGCTGTGGGTGGGACTTGGGATTTTGAACGTGTGGCTCGCATTGGACGAGTTCACGTGGCGGGTGAACGCCCGAGACCCGTCGGGAAACACAGACACTATCTTGCCTTCCGTGCCCACGATACCGGTGAGCGACGGCAAGGCGTCCGGCATGTCGACGTCGTCGTTGTCGCTCCCAAGCGATGGCGGTCGGTGGCTCATGGATCGTTCCAACGCTGGCGACTTGGCGATGAATTCCCGCTTCTTGGGTGACCCCACCGCACCACCGACCTGTTTTTCGGGCTTGGGATGCGCCACCAAGACAGTCGCGAGGCGTGCAACATCGTGTTTGGTCAGGAAGCGCGACGTTGGAGTGTAGTTGCATCCAATGCGATCGCTCAGCGTGCAGTACGATCGCTCTTCATCTCCAAATGTGGGGACGCCTCCACTCTGCAACTTCGACGAGCTTGTGACGGGAGGGGAAGGCATGCTGCTGGGGGATGCTGGTCGGCCGAGGAGGCTATTGGTGGAGCTACCAGGTCGCCTGGAGCCACGGAACGACCCGAGGGGCCCGAGCGAGGCCGCCAAGTTGGCACCTGAAGCCATGGGGTCCAGTGGGTCCGTGTGCTTTTTCAGCTTCTTCTTGATCGGGCTGTTGACGCCTGTTGGGTTCCCGCCGCCATCCAATCGGCAAGCCAACGAGCTCTGGAGGATGTCGAGGCGGACTTTGCGGACCGGGCTTCGTTTGAGCTCGGACGTGGCTAGCAGCAACGGATCCCCAGATGAATCACCGCGGCCGCGTGTCAGCGCCTTAAACTTTTCCAAGTCGTCCCATGCTTCGGGCGACACTCGCGCCGACGGCGGGTGGTCCAACCCTGGAGGAGGTGGGCTGCTCATGGAATGCACACGTAATCGACCGCGCGATGTGCCACGATGAACGTGCCCTTTCACGAACACGTGTGAGCGCCAACTATCTCGTCGAAGGGACGCTCTGTTTCAGATATTGCAGTGAAACGTTCGACCCGTCGAAGGTCGCATCTCCGCCGGTACAACGCCAGCCTTGGCCGCCGAAGGCAATGGGGGGCGGCGCTCAACTTGGCATGCCATGCAGCAGGTAAAATTTGCTGCTCGGACTGCCATGTCAAGTTGAAGAAACCCCGTCGACAGCTCGAAAGCTGAGGTGAAGAGGACGCCGAAACTAGATGTACGTGCGAGTCGTGGTGTAGGAGGCCAGTGCCGATGATGAATAGGATCAGGCACATTGCTCGCGACCTGGCGACCTGTGAAATGTATAACACAAGAGGCGTGCTAGGACAACGTTCGTGTGGCATAGGGTATTCGCTTTTACTCGAACGACGCGCCATGGCGGGCCCCGAATCCCCCCAACACGGATTCCATGTTCATCACGGCGCCCGCAACATTGATGCTCTTGTTGCGACGGATGGGAGATGTCGATTCTTGGATGCTGTCGTCCGCGGTCAAAGTGCCCTCGATCGTGGATGAAGAAGGGCCAAGGGGCTTTTTCGAAGAGGATGGGAACGATTTCTTCGATGCGAGGGGCGATGGCTGAGTCATGCTCGACAGGTTCATGCTGCTGGCCGACGTGTAAAACGACGGCACTCTGCCCAAGCTGCTGATGCCCGTGCGCTTTTCTTCCTCGAGCGCTTGCTCGCCACGCAAAAACCTGACCACAATTCCACATTCATTCCACAAACAATCAAAACACTTTGAGCGACAGCACGCGAGAATGTCCGTGTAAAGTCGTCGTACCGCACGGCGCGCTCCAGCGCAAACTCGATGCGGCACATGGCTTGGATCCGCGACAGGTGGGGCCATGTGGACCGTTCGCCGGCAAGAACGAGGTCCTGGAACGAGCTGGGCGACGGGTTCGTGAGCACTTGGGCGGCCAATTGCAAAAACGATACTTGCGACGCAATCGAGATCGTAATGTCGCCTTCGTACGTCTACGTCATGCGGTCGTCGCCAGCCGGTCGAGCGCAAACGCACGTACCTGTGTCAGGAGCGGGACGAGCCCGACCCCAAACAACTTGAGCACGGACGTGTTGAGGCCGAATTCGGCAATGTTTTTGATGTACGCTTTCATTTGTTTCTTCAAAAAACCCAAGATGTCGCCGCCGCCGTGCGACTCGTACCCCGATATAAACTTGTAATGGATGTTGACCTGGCTCACGATGAAATGGTTCACGTTGAAGAGCTCGCTCAGGCGCTCCATGGGCAAGTCGCACTCGACACTACAGCCACGATGTTTCGACTCGATCGATGCACGCCATGGACGTCCGCACCTGCCATCGCTCCACTTGAGGCCTTCGCGGTACACCGGCACCACGTTGCCGTGCTAGCATCGCACTCCCCAACATAAGTCACACGCTGACAACTCGACCTGTTGGAAGCAACTGCGTACCTGGTCCTTCCCGTACAATTCAACGGGTGAAAACACCATCGGAATCGCGCACGAAGCAAGGGACGCCGACCAGACGAGGACGTTCGGAGCGGTCAAGTAATTGAGCAGCTGCGGGTAGTCCCTGCAAACGCCATGGGTCGGTTTCGATGGCCAAGTATGCCTGACACGTACGTGGACTGTGACGGCGTCACCGTGATGTTAATGATGCGGCCGGTCCGGTCGTACGCTTCTCGAAACGTGTAGTCGCCCATGTTATTGCGCAAGTTTTGCTGAAACGTGGATGTGAGTCGCATCGATTCGGCATCGTGTCCACATCGCCGTCGTGTACCTTGAGCCGGGTGATGTCGAGCATGTAACCCTTGTCGAGAAATCGGGCGGCCACCACGTACGCATGTTGGAGCGAATCGTAGCAAGGCACAAGCCCTTGCATCGCGGACAGCCACGACGGCGTGTAATGCTCGAGTTCCCGCGGGCTCACGTTTGCGTCGAAAAAATAGAGGTCCAAGTGGCCGTCTTGAAAGACCTAACACATGGCCACTTCAGTCTCGTTGGTCATGACCACCACGCGCGTATTTGGCATTGCATATGGCTCAAGGCTTAACGTTCGGGCACATCAGACTTCACTCGACTGGAACGGCAAAAATACGCTCTGCGACCAAGCGCCTAGCGCTGTCGATTCCAGCGACAAGACGTCGGGCACGAGCGAGCCCACAGGCCAAGTCGATGTCACATCCACAAAATGTGAAGAGCCACGTGCCTCGAGAGGACATGCAACCACGACAGAGAAACAGATCCGATCCATCGAAAGCACCCTGTCCCACGCATGCAATCGGGCACATCACGTTGGCACCATTGTACACAGAGGACCTTTCACCGATATACTCCAAATGAACGCACCTCGTTCAACTCTTCATCTGTGCGGACGCCAACACATCCGGCGACGATGGATCCAGCCGACGACCCCGAAATCACATTGGGCAAAAGACCTTGTTCGACCAGAGTCTTGACGATGCCTGTGTGGTACAGACCGAGGCCTCCGCCACCGCTGAGCATGAGGGCAGACCTGCCAAACGCATGGCGCGTCTCGCTGAAAAATGCCAGTTTGTTTTCAATGCTGAGCGCGTCGTCGTCGACTTGTGGATGCTGCATGGAGCGATGGGGCGATGGATTTCGTCGGGCTTGGAGCACCATGTCCATGGACGTGAGCACTGCATCCATGTACTCGTCCACGACGTGCTTGGTCCCGACTACACGGTCGAAACAGTGTCCATTAGCGTGAAGGAAACTCAAATCACCTACCGTGGCTCACGCCGTAGAGACGTGGGTTGCCGAGCCCCCAGTGCTTGCGAAGCAACCCTGCGCGCAATGCAAACATGATGCCCATGATGTCTCGCTCGCTTTGCAGACGGCGATACATCGCGATCTTGTTTTGTACGCGCTCGTAAAGAAAGAGACCGGAAGATGGATCCTGTCGCCACTTGTCGTGGCCTTCCAGCACGTCGAGTTCTTGTCCAAGCGCCTGTTGATGATAGTGGTGGTCAGCTGCAAAGACATTTCATGCATGACGGCATACCCTTCGCTTATCGAGATTCGTCGCGCGCTCCATGGCAGTGCGCAACTGGAGACGCTTGCGGCCCTTGGCGCTGCATTGTAACAGAAGCTTCAACCCCATCCGGCGCGCAACCGCACCGAATTCAAATAGCGCTTGGAGGGACACAACGGCAGCGAAAAAGCGGAAGAACACGTCCGGGATCAGCAAGAGGCGCACAGAGCGCCAGAGCAAGTTGAGGAGGTTCTGCGCCAGCACCACCATGCCGTGTTCCGTGCTCGCACGGTACTTCCAATCCAAAATCAGGTTCCGGATCAACTGGGCTTGGTGCTACATCCACGTTGGCCACATGAGCATGAAGGTCCCTTCACAGGACAAGCACGTACATGAAGCCCAGTCATGTACAACCATAAGCGCACAGAAAACCTCGCCGAGTGAGCGACGAGAGTCGACGGCGGCGCCATGTCGTGACAGCGCCGACGAACCAAGATATTTGGGACAAAATTTCCGGAAACATACGGATAACCCTTGAAGTTGGCACAGAGAATGGATTGTCCAACGGGTGCGATCTGCGTCGCGGCGGCGGGTCCGAGCCACTTCGCGACGGATGCTCTTGGTGGGGCAGCATGCGCGTGCCATGTAACCTCCAGTCGTCTACTCTATCACGGCTCAACGCACTGACTCCTCTCCGCATGGCACTACGGCAGCATAGGCGGCCGCGAGCCACTGCCCAAGCGTTACGTGATAGTGACAGCTTTATTGCAGCACCTTGTACCGATCTCACGACGATGTGCTCTCGAATTAAACTTGCTCCGTTCGTGTTACTGCGTTCGAGGCATCCAAGGATGTAGGATGGGATGGGGGGTGGCACAGGGGTATAGTCAACCGCATGACAGAACAAGGCTATACTTGCGTCGGGGGCTCCTCCAAGTGCTCTTGACCGAGCGACACGATGAGGTTTCCATGCATGCCAATCTATGGGCGGTCCTAGGCCTCAGACAGCGTGGTGCAGCTACGATATCGTCGCCCTGTGAGCTGTCCCATTCCGTCTGCGTATGATGCAAGAGAAACCCACGACGTAAGTCGATAGAACCCCTTGGCGGCCTGGTTTTGAATGGGCCTGTCCTGTTGCGCCTTGTGTTGTAAACGTTGAGCGCATTCGATCGTGAGCGAGACGATTCGTCCAAGTACGTCAATTGGTGCATGTGGCATGCTTGTAGCGTCGTTCGGGTATTCGGCGACGACCCAGACACAGGATTCCGCCCAGCACATGAGCTTCGTCGCCGAAAGCACCGCTGCTGGCTGCAAAATCCGCTCCCTTGATCGATATCCTGCAAAATGATTGGAAGATTTATACATATTTTGACCAATCGCTGTCGCAATTGAAGTCGAGGACGTTGAATGGAATATATTTTGCTCAATCGGGGAATTAATATAAATTCCAATACATTACTTCAAATACGTGCATCATTTTTTTGCCATTTTTTTGGGGGGTTGCAAAGGAATTGAAGTTGGGTGACGGAAGGACTTGAAGAAGAAACCGAACATGTCGGGAGGCCAAGCGGCGACAAGTGCGTGGAGCGCATGGCTGGATCGGCTCGAGAACGCGAGAACATCGGAGCAGAACTTGAGTTTGAAGATACGATCAGGAAACACGAGTAACATAGGGACAAGCGTCTTCGCCCTTCAGCAAAGTATGTCGCGCCTGAGGCGAGAGTACGACGCGATGACGAGCGGCCCGACATCGAATGCCGTGGCCACACCCCAAGAAATCCGCCGCCGAGAAGACCTCTTGCGAAACCTAGAGACCCAGACGAAGTCTCTCCTGGCTGCATACAACAACCGCACTCAGGGGACCAAGGGGTACGACCGGCTATTCCGTTCCATGAATCTTCATTGACCGTAAACTCACAATGCGCTCAGGTCATCCTCGCTCGAATCGGGGGCCCAAATGCTTCGCGTACAAAACCAAATTATGCTTGGTGCGTGCAGTTTCGTTCATGTTCTTGTTGAGCACGTCGCTGACCCAATTGGCAGACCAAGACGACCAACTCCACTTGATCGGCCAGGGTGTGTCCAACCTCAAGCAATATAGCTTGGCTGTCAAGAATGAGGCTGACTTGCACGTCCGTCTACTCGACGACATCAATATCGAGGTCGATCGCGCAACCACGGGACTCGAGTCGGAGGGGGACCGTGCCCAAGTTCTCGCCAAGAAGAGCAGCAACTTTCGGTTGTACCTGGCCATCGTTGTCTTGAGCGCCATCTTAGTGTTTGAATTGATTATTGGAGGAAGCAAATAACACGACGCTACGCAAGGTCTCCCATGCATGTGCAGGCCGTCGTTCCAGCGGCGGCGTCGCGCATCCTCCCATGTTCATCTTACTGGCATTCCTGTGAATATTCCACATGTCGAGAGATTAAATAATGTGTTTGGCATTCCTAGAAGTTTGATTGGGCAATATGGCGGTGTTCTCGGCTTCATGTCATCCACCATCGTCCGTCGACTGCTGCGATCGAGTAGGATGATGACTATCACTGCTGCTGCCGCGTTCGCGGCTGCTGCTGTCATTGCCGCGCCGCCTGCCGCTGGTGCCACAGTATGCCTCGTTCTCATGCTGTCAATGTGCACATGGGCTGATGGCGCTCGATATCTAGGCGGAGAGTCCTTTTGGTCAGGCTCTGCGCACCCTCCAGGAGCATCCATGGACGTCGGCGGCGCTACGTCGTCCGCTAGATATTCTGGTTCGCTCGCCAACGATGTCGTGGCATACATCTCGTGACCGTTGGTGCTGTATAGTCGCCGTACATCCGCATGGAATACGCTGTACTCGGCCTTGCGTTTGTCACCATGACTGCGTCATTCTTGATGCCGTACTTGATGAGTCTGCTGATGCCGTCGTCGCTAAGTGATGGCGATGCGCGTGGTGAAATCGAACAAGCAATTCTCACGGCTCGCTTGGATGCTGCATCGAAGCGATCGAATGCGTATCCACCGCAGTGCCCCGTTCGCATGACGCGAGGCGACGATGCTGTGGTACAGTGATCCCCCTCGCCGACCCTACCGGGCGCAGACTCTTTGACATCGTCACGCATTGCCATCAGGTGCAGCAGTACAATTCCAAGCTCGGCACGTACACTCTCACCTCTTGTGGAAGAACTGTGGACGTCCCAGAATCGCAAGTGGCTCCGACCACCGTGACGGATTTGTTCATTTACCCGATCAAGTCGTGCGCCGGAATTCGTGTTGCGCACTCGCACGTGCTTCGTACGGCGTTGACGACGCATGCACGATGAATATCTCATCGAGGGTTGTCCACAGGCCAAGGGCTGCAATTCGACCGGCAATGGCTGATTGTGGATGGCAACAACGACTTTGTCACGCAGCGAAAGGTTCCCAAGATGGCGCTCATTTGCCCCATCTTGACTCCATTTGACCCGTCGACGCTGGCTGCGTCGCCGTGTCCTGCTCAAGTACGTACTCGACACACCACGTCGTGGCGACGACAACCGTCCGGTGTGCGTTCGATTCACATTGTGCCGAATCTACAGTCGATTACGCTCACGGCGACAGACCATGCGATGAAGCCGTTGGTAGTGCCGGTCCTCTCCCATGGCGTCGAGCGCAACGTGCGTGTGTGGAAAGACCGCGTCGATGCTATCGACCAAGGCGACGAGGCGGCGGCATGGGTTGCTACTTTTCTGGGACACCCGAGCTACCGCCTCGTGCGACTCAAGGACTCGTTCAAGCGCCCATGCGACCCGGCCTTTGCCCCGGATCATGAAACAGGTACTGACAGAAGCGAACAAACCCATGCCGAGCGTTGAAGCATTCGGTTGCGAAAAGGATTCGCCGATGGTTTCCCCATCTTGATTGCTGCGTCGTCGTCGCTGGATGTACTGGAACGCGAGCTACAGCGCCCGATCGGCATGGAGCGGTTCCGACCCAAGTACATGCATTTCATATCGTTGAAGTTGTCAGGTCGTTGCGTGTGGTGGTAGCATTGTCGTGTCGGGGTGTCCTCCTTGGGCTGACGACGTCTGGCAAGCATTTGAAATTGGGCGAGACGCGGCGCTGCGCTTCCGCAATGTCAAGCCATGCTCGCGATGCTCGATTCCGTCGGTGAATCCCACGACCGGCCTCAAGGACGATGACGAGGTCGTGACCAGCGTGCAGGACGTGTTGAAGGCACACAGGTGGGTCGCTCAATCGCGTCGCTCATTTTCCGCAACTTGACGCTGGTTACTGGCTGCGCGAATGACAAGAGCATGTGCAAGCGACCGACATGGTTAACGTGGTGGCCAACCCGTAGGAACGGCAAAGAGTTGGGCTTTCTTCAAAAAGCAGCGCACGAAGTACGTGATGCATGTCGAGAGGTTGAGTCGTTCGGTCACGTACGTGTGTGCAAGGTCTTCTTCGGATCAAACGTTGTGTGCGACAAGTTGGGCGCGCTTTCTGTCGGCGACGTCGTCAAGGTGTTGACGGTCAAGTCGCCGTAGAAGGCGTGGCTGGGTTTGCGGTTCAGAACTCGGCTTGCGCGACGCAGGATGGATGGCCGAGAGAATTTCGTAAAGCCAGCATGCAGCACATCCATCATCCAGCAGTGTGTAGATTCAACCAACGACTCGCCAACTATTCTACCAGGTCAACGCTATAACCAACAATAGGTCGTTGGCATAAAATACAGGCGCTGTTACAGAGCTGTCGCTGGTTTCCTCGGCATTTGCAAGGCCGGCAACGAACGAGGCCCATGCCCCTTCATGGACGAAATGTCTCGAACAGACACGGGAAGCGGAGCTTCGGAAATGGACAAAGGTCCCTTTTGTGGCGACGTCGAGCTCTCGTCAGTCAACGGGATACCGGTGACGGGCGCTTTCATCTCGAAGGCATTGGGTGAAGTCGTCAGCAACGACGAAGGTTTGGAACCGGTGAACGAGCAAGGTTCAGGACGAAGTGGCTGCTGCGGATCCGGGGTGGCGATAGCGGCATCGTCGGCTCTGGTTACCGCGTCACTGAAGGACGAACCAGAAAAATTGGCAGGGGAATGATGGGCTGGAGACGGGGGCTTGACAGGGGGCAGCGTTGCGTCGCCAAAGTAGGGCGCGCTGGACGAATGCTTCGGGGACGAAAGCTTCTTGGGCGACTCTCCTCCTTCGTCACCGTGCTTTTCTGCATGCAAACTCGACGAACTGCTGTGGTGGCGGCTCTCCATCGATGTCTCTTTCGCACCATCGTGGGTGTCGTTGAATTCGGGCAATGCCAAGTTGAGCTCGGCGATGCGCGCGCCGTTCAGGGGCAGTGGTTTCGGGCACGACCACGTGTCCACGAGGTGCTTCACTTTGGAAAAGTACGGCTTGGCAGCCACTGCCGACAACTGCAGGCACGCCATCGTCGTTCGACCGATGACGGCGTCGCCAATGCACCCCGCAGTTGCTGACGGCAGGTCGTCTTGTTCCATCGCATCCACCAGATATTGTAGCAGCGACCGTATGAGGTGAAAAATGCATTCGAGTGTGCGCAGCGTGAGCAGCGGTAGTCCATTGAACGCGGCGCCCGTCGCCAGCACCTTGGTGTCTTCGACAATGGGCACTTGGAGATGCTCGAGCCAGTCCAGGAGAAGCCCCGAAAGACATTCCGGTGGGATGGTCTCGTTCGATAGCTCTCCAGTATTCATTTTGACCTTGTGCGGCCAGAGTTCGTCCGCCGCCACTACCATGGCCTGTCCAAGCGGCATGTCCGAGTCGCTGCCCAGTAGAATCTTCATGTGTTCGAAGTGGGAGGCCATGCTGCCATCCGATGTCGCCGGGAGATGCGTGACGTAGATCATGCAGATGGATCTGGCGCTTCTAGACGCCGCCGCCTCGAGGGACTTGCACAGAAACGTGACTATTTTCGGCGGAGCGACACCCATGGTCGGTCGAGCATGGACGTACTGCCGCCCTTCTCGCTCGGCCACAGCTTGGAGCGTAAAGCGGTCGTGGATGGAAGGCATCGCAAACACTATCACGTTGTGCAACTGGACGTTAGTGACGTCGAAATCGACTCTACAAATGCAGGTAGTAGTACCGAGCTTGGACCCGTGGACATAGTCGTAAAATTGTCGAATGAAGTCGAGTTGGCCGGGAGTTTGGACCGAGCCAGGGCGGCCGCGACGAACGATATCTGTAGCCTAGCCGACCGCCATTGCATTTGCGGTGTGAGCGACAGGACGATGCGTCACGAGGGCGACCGTACGTTTTGCGGAGATATATCGTGTTGGAATACCAACGCGCAGGCGATGGCGAGTCCAGTGCGACCTACAACGACCGTGCCGCACGCACACGTTGGTGGCATAGCCAGCGGGGATGCAAGTGCGTACCAAAGCCGGCATGGCAGTGCACCGCCAGCTACACCGACAATTCAGCCGCTGGCCTTGATTCTGGTTGAGCGCACACGTACCTTTTGGTTGGCATAACTGAGGACGCCCGTCATGACTTTGACGAGATCAACCATGAACGAGAGTCCGGGCGTCGTCATGTCCTCCCATCCAAAGTTGTAGAATTGAACTAATTTGCGTTGTTGGGGACGCAGCACACAAAGATGTCGCCGATTGCAATGGGGCGCACGTACTGTTGTGTGCCATCAGGTCGGCCTCGGGGTCGTACGGAAACCCGCTCTCCACGAGGCCATCGCCGCAGTAAGGGTGCTCGCCAGGCAACGTCAAGTTGAACACAGCCTTGATTTTCAACCTAAGCATACCATGGCGTGCATTTGAACGGATGCCACATGTCCATGCGAAGACGTACTTCTGGAACTGCTCGACGAGACGGTACGTTTGAAAGAGTCGTGTGGACGGCCGCATCATGCCCAGCATCGAGTCCGTGGCCCAGTCCGAATGGAGACCATGGACGGGGTTGTTGGCCTTGGCTAGAGCAGCAGACTCGCTACATCGTCGGCACTTTGGTCCGCCGCAGAGCCGACATTTCACTGTCAGTGTCTTTTCCCATTCACGTGGTCCGACGACGCCTGGCTTTGGTGGACTCAGGCCCCCGCCAGAAGTCGCCGCCGAGTTCTCCCGCGACCGTTTTGGGCTCGTCTTGCTTGGACTGCGCTGGCTCGGACTTCCCTGCATCGGTCTAGTCGGGCTGCTTGGGGCCGACATGCCGACTTCGTGGGATGCCTTGGATTTCGCTTACTACGGGCGACGCTCAAGAATCTCGCCGGCAAATGTCGCTGTCACCCACGTAATACCGGGTTTTACATAGGGTATGTGGCCTTATGCCGCTACTAAGATTGCGTTAAACGGTAAAACGTTCTTGTAGTTGCGAAAGGACACTCGATTCGACATGGCATACCACAGCGTCGGCGTGCGCAGCCGCGCCCAGCACGCGGCGCAGCGCATTGAACAGCTCGAGTCGATCGACAAGCGGCACTGGCGGCTCGAAGAGAACGCAGACGACAACAATCATACGGTGTGTGTGGCCATCCTTTCGTCGTAAGCAGATCGCTCGAGTTTGACGGTGCTGAGATTGAACCACTGGCGACACAGGTACATTGACACAAGCTTACGGCAAGCCAAATACCACCACGGATTCCACAAAGCGGTGCTATGCGTCGAGATTTTCAAGCACATGCTGTTCAATCTGGACCGAGAGGCGCTGTCGCCCCTGTTTGTGTACTGCGATGCAATGGAACGATTCATTGAGTCACTGTACAAGGCCAAACCCCTCGACAGCAACGGGGCACTGCCGTCGCCAACCAAGGCAATTGAGTCCTCACCTCGACTGAGAAAACCCCGCGTGGCGACCATGCCACTGCCAGCAAGCCTTCCGCCGACCAAACCGAAGCGCTTTATCGAGCTGCCAAAGCAGGAACAGCATGTCCTTCACGTCGCGTTCTACCTCAAGGACGTTTTGACAAAATTGTCAGGCGGCGCATGTGCAAAGCCTGCAGGCAAGTTTCAGTCCCATCGCAAACCGATGGACGCATCGTTGCCAGTGGCGGCGGATGCCCTTCCGCTCGACTTGGCGCGGGAACTTCGCGCCATCAAGACGAAGCTACGCAAGAATGAATTCTTCGCAGACTTGCCTAACTTGATTGCCGATGCAGGTCCGTGGCGCAATGGACGACTGTGCATGAATGAACTCGACTCCTACAGGGAAAGCAACGAAAGTCGGGGACTCTCGGCAGGCCAACACCCACCAAGCGTTCTCGAGCTTTTTCCTGTGTCTCCACGAAGTAGTCCGGAGCACGTCGTACCACAGCATCGAGCTTGCCGACGGCGCATTTGATCTCCTCGGGGAAGTCCTCCGCGCGATTCAAGACTACATTGTCGAAGTTTGACATCTCGTTCTCACGCGCCTTCGCTGACATGGCATGATGTGGATGTAGGTCGTTGGTCAGCGCAAGACGCGCCGGTCGCGGATTCGTGTCTTGCGCGCGCAGCGCCAGCAACTACGAGCACAGTTTGGCACGATGGAAGCGGAGACTCAAGGCATCGCCCAGGAAGCGATCAAGCTGTCGACCGTGCTCAGTGCGATCGAGTTGGAGCTAAACGTCCTTCGCGACGAATGCGACTGGCACGCGCACAACAAGCGTCTTTTTCTCGACACGGTACAACTCCTTCGCCTGGCACGATCCTATCTCCGACCAACGGTTTGGCGGGTTAGATTCGCGCCTTGCGCAACGCATGCGACCAGCCACCTCTCGTCTTTGTCAATGCGGACGGCGTGAGCAAAGTGCTGCAGCCTGGCACAGCCATCCTCCGCGTCGAGAACATTCCGCACATCCGGTACCTGGTGCAGCTCCTCGCGCTATCGAGAAGTTTTGCCCACGTTCGTCTCAACGATCCGCGCGTGAATGAGGCCAACCCGGCTCGGAAGCTCTCGATGAGTAAACTCAACCACCAAGGCCGGGCCGAAACACTTAAGATGCACTTGATGAACCAAAGACCGCGTGATCATGGCGACGCCATGGCCAACAACAGCCCACCACCTCACGTGAGCGACGCACCGACGGGGGCAGACAAAGGTGCGAACGCACCAAGCGCATTACACAAGGTCACGGAAGCCGAGCTGACGGCGCTGTCGTCCATTCACGAATGCCTTCGAGGTGATTCGATTTCTTCTGTCGGTTGACAGCTATCCATTCAACTCGACACCTCGTAGCGGTCGAAGTATTCATGGGCGACGAAGCTCGACGGAGCTTGTTGCGGACAACCTCGACAGCGTCCCAAATTGACGTGTGTGCGCACTTGGAAGACCTCCAGTACGGTGGCAGGGGTGGGAAAAGGAGGCGTTGGCATAACGTGGCGTGGTCGATGTGTAGAAAGAATGCCGATAGCGGACATGGTCATGGCGCTTCGAGTCGGTCCAACGACGGGCCAATCTGTTTGGTCCGCGAAGTCGCCAAGTTGCCAGAGCCATGGCGATCCGCGTTCCCGTCCATCCACGAAGATGAACTCGTCACGCTTCTGTCGAAAGACGACATGCTTCACGATGTTTCATCCATCTACGCTGCTTATGACGACGTACTGTTCAAGGCGATCCCTTGGCGTGATATTCACGGTTGCATGCGGTGTAGATGCTGGTGCGACCGAGCCACACGGACGACACCACCCCCACCATCAGTTTTCCAGCATTCGTCACGTCGTACTATTTGGTGCATCCTCGCAACGCCATCATGGACCCGACGCCTTCAAACCAGTCGAGTACAGAATTCCACGCAAGACGAGTTGTGGTGTGGAAGCTCAGCGTGTTGTGTGTAGTTGCAGACGAAACCCGGCACGGTCCTGCATGGGCCAGTCTCGAATGCGCCCGCCTGCTCGTGTCCATCCACAGTCATGTTCAAGGCGCGGTCAGCCTCGACTGGCTAGGGTACTTTGCCGTGTTCACAGGACTATCCAAGACGCTGACGTTGCCGCTGCCGCGGGCGCTCGACGCCTTTCTCGTCGCCCGCCGCATGCTGCTTGCGACAACCGTGATGCGCCAGCGCCACGCCGACCCGACGACGGTCGATGTGATTTGGGTCATGGCCAAGGACATCACGCTCCCCAGTGCCGCGTACACGCTTCACGGGACAGCCGTCAAAATTCTCTCCTCGTTCACGCGAAGCCCAGGTACCTGTGGAGACGTCCCATGCACAAAACGCGTGCACGTGATGGCCGTAGATACGTACTTGAATGTGCTGGAGGATAAGAGCACGAGCGTCGACTTGTTTACGGAGGACGACGTCGGGAATCGCGAGGTCAAGGCCGCGCTCGTGCTGCACGTGGACACAGCATTGCTTGTGCTCATGCAGGCGTGGGTTCGGGAGCACCACCATACCCTGGCCGTGCTGGAAAGTACGTTGCGAGGGTTGCATCCAGATGACCGTGGTGCCGAGTGCTCCATTGATTTGGGTCCATGATGGCACTTAGATGTTTTTGCCGCGACGTTGAACAACGACGACGACTCGATGTCGTACGGCGAATTCGTCACAACGTGGGGCTTTATCGACCCATCTGTACCCGTTGGTCGCCTTGGCACGATCTACGCTCGCGTAAGTACCATCCGCCGTCGCCAACACTTTCAATGTCGCGGTGTTTTGACAATGGAAGCATGCGCGCGATTCCCATCGCAAACGACGTGATCGGGGCAGCATGACGTTGTCGACTCGTTCTAGGCCGCGCGGCATGAGACGGCCAGCTTATGCGGGGACGCATCCACGTCACGCTTGATTCACACGTTGTACACAAGCGATGCCTTTGCAGAGCTCAAAAAGCCATGGGTACGTACGAGTTCCTCTTTTTGCCGCAGCGATGCCGTGTGTAAAACGATCCAGATCATATTCAGTCGCAACTGCGACAACTAAATCTGTCGTTGACATAGCTCCACATGTCGGCCATGCACGTGGCAAATCCGCAGCGGTCGTGGGACGACGGCATCGACGGCCTCGTGGCGATGTGGAAAGCGACACGTGAAAGAGTGCTCGATCGGGTGAGCGACTTGAAAAACACGAACCAGGTCAACTTGACCATGGTCCACACGTGCATCGAACGGCAGCACAAGTTTGAACGCCTTTTGGCCATGGCGTCCGCTGCCGACTGCGATGACGTGGCGGCGGCGGTCGAACGCGCGTGGTTTGCGTACCATTTTTTGCAGCAGGACATCCACGCGACGACGCACGCGATCCTGAAGCAGCAGAAGATTCACAAGGTAAAACGAACGATCGAGCCGACTGCGAATTACAACATGCGCGGTAGAAACCACATCACTGGGCCCTGACACCAGCCACCGCCATCCAAGCGACGCCGTCGCCGCGAAAGGCAGATGCGACTGCCACCGATCGACGCAACTCGATTCCCCACCTGCAGCACAGCTAACGGGTTGCGGATTGCTTTGTCGACCATGTTCGAATCCACTCCCAACATATGACCGATTCCGCCGTTTTGAGATGTTTCGTTAAGAGCGAGATGATCCATCGATGTGTATCGGTGCCTTTCACAGCAGAGGAAAAGCCGCACGGTGAACGACGTGGTTGTGAGTGGAGCGAAATCGCGACAGCACGATGGCGGCCACGAAAGTTTTGCGTTGTCGGTGGATCGTCTGCTGTTGCTCAATCATGTCTACTCTTACAGCTCCTGAACAATCTCGAAATTAGCTTGTGCAAAGTACGCCGCGCGCTTCCGCTTCTTGGTTCCTGACGTCATAAACGCCGCGATCGATTGCGTGCCCACTGGAGCGTCCTATTTCGTTGGTGTTAGAGGTCATGTAGGCTGTGCATGGGGTCATGTAGGCTGTGCATGGTTCGCCTACTTCCTTGTCATGTGGCCACGTCACGTCCACGAGCCGGTCGTGGTAGCTCTCGAGCGTTCCCCAGCTGAACCGGACGATGTTGGGGTAGCCAAACACAGGGTCGAGCGCGTCGTTGAGCCACCGCTTGCACTTGGGGTCACTTGGATATCCCGACCCGAAATCTGTATCTAAATGCTGGAGCCCTGGCGTTTCGTACTTCCACGCGGCGACCACTGCATCCCGTGTGACTTTGGCGCAAATGCTGGCGGCGCTGACGACCTTAAACAGACTGTCGGCCTTCTTTTCCACGACAAACACAATCTTTCCGTGGAAGTGCTTGGTGAGAAACATGCGATACCAATTCGGATCGCCCACTGTGTCCACGTACACGTGAGTGACATTCACGCCGGCGCGTTGGACGGCGTCAATCATTTCAATCGCGGCATCCCGCGACATTTCGTTCAAGTTGCGGCTGCGAGTTAACATGTTGTGCGAGATCTCGGTCGCGTCGATGGTTCGCGTGACGTACCCCATGTCTGTCGTGCCCTTGATTTTGTCAAAGAGGCGCTGTCTGGACTCGTGGGTCAAGGCTTTCGAGTCGTCGAAACCATGGCTGCTCATGACCGCGTCGTCCTCCACACGCCAATAGGCGGCGCCGTACACCATGGGGCCAAGGACAGGGCCGCGGCCAGCTTCGTCGATGCCTAGCATCACATCCACACCGTCTTGAAGGCAGATTGCCGGGACCGGGCTCTGGGTCAGCATGGGAGGGTCTGCTGCGATTGAAACGTCGCAATGGCAACTTCCGATTGGTTGAGACCGATTCCAACAACCAATTAAATTGTTTCCCTCTTTAAAGTTATGGTGGCCACGACGGCGGCCGGATCGCGTCCCGCGCGGGCATGCGGTCGCACCACACCTTTCTTGAAGCTCAAGACGGGAAGAACGGGATCTGGACTTGCGTGACGGCATGACATGGCCATTAAACAATACGCTGCGGCAGGTGCTGCACGTCTTGACGTCACCAGAATGCTCCACCAGTGGTGCACTCGTTGGCGACAGATAGTCGCCGCAGCCATGGGAGATTGGTCCATAAAGAGGCCGCGAGATGTTTATACAGTTTGCCGCAGGCTTGCTTCTATTGCATGCCTTGTTGTGCTGTCCAAGCACTGTCGGAGGCAAGTCTTGGCAGTGAGGCGTCGACGGTTTCCTTAGTGTAACTGCGCCCGATGACCCGGTGCGATGACCTCGAGCGCGACATCGCGGCGATGGAGTCAAGGTTGTTTGAGGTTAAAGTTACCATGGATGCAGAGGCCATCAATTGGAAACGGGCCAATAAGTTGAACAAGAAGAGCGGGACACACTGGCGCAATGCCAAGCCAGTGACACCACCCGCAACGGACGTCACTTCGACCTTACCCCTGGCGACGACATCCTCAGCAAACGTGTCAACGGGGCGTCCACCACCGCCACGCTATAAATCGTTGCACGCCTTGGCAAAGCAAGACACGGCTCTTTGGTCTGTCTCAGACGTCATCTCATGGCTACGTCACATGAATCACGACTCGTGGATTGCTGTGGTCAAGGAATTCGGCATCACAGGCGACCAGGTGTTGTATGCACACATGGGCCTGAGCGACGTGAACCTGCGTCGCCTTTTCCGTGTCAAACACGGCGACTTGCAATGGAAACGACTTGTGCATGATGTCGCGACCCTGCACAGAGAGCATTCCGCCAGCGGCGCACGAGCCACGACGGGTCGTTCGACGGAAGCTCCCAAGACCTTGCCTGCTCTCACGTCGTGCTCGTCACCGCGACACGATGCCATGTCGAATCCATGCAACCCTCTTCCTACGGCCAACCATCCACGGCAGCAACGACGCCTACAGCCTACCACATTGGCCGTACCAACTACGTGTGCAGGTGGATGCGGGAAAGTGGTTCATCGACGAAAGGAGGACGTTGCAATTCCCTGTGGCGGAAATATCGTCGGTAGTCGATGGTTCTGCTCGCCCGAATGCCAGGGGATGATCGGCAACCAAACCGCGTTCGGGGCGACGTTGGAGCGACCGAGCGGACAAGACCGAGCTCTCCTTAGCGTTAGCATCACGGGGTTTGTTCGTTGTCTCGTTCATAGAGTCTGGACGTGTTAGGGACTCCATGGTAGATTGGACGCAGTTTCGCAAGCCTCCACTACTCAACGAAGCGCTGTGGTGCGGAAACGGAAACCACCAAGTGAGAGATCCATCGCCATCTTTGAAAGGAAGATGAACGAGAATAGGTCGTGCGATGGGATGCTCGGCAGCTTTTGCCGGGCCAACGGTCAAGACAACCCCTCGACGAGGCCCCCCATCAGCTGCCGGGAGCCTCCATCTGGAGCTGGTCACGGCTACACTTGCTAGTACACTGTCCTCTTCCACCTCATCAAGCGGTGTATCAACAGTGAGGCGACGCCAGCCCAATTCTACTACTGGTGCGCCACTACTGCATATCCCCTCGTCGAACCAAATAAAGCCCGAAAAACATGGTCGGCTCTTGCGTCCCGCGCACTGCCCTGCAGACGTCCAAGAGCCCTTGCCAACGATTGCCGTCACATCCCTCCAGCACCATCTCCCATCGATTCATGCACTGGGGACACAAACATCACCGTCATCGAGGGCGGCGACGCTCAAGCAGGCGAAATCCATGGCGACAGCACCTGCCTACTCCAAATACAGACTGGACGATTCGGCGGCAGCTGCACCCACTCTCACGTCTGTGTTCTTGTCATCGATTCCGCTGGCCATGTCGTGCCAATCCGAGCTGAAAACCGCAGCCAACGACGATGATCGTCGCGAACATGGCACGGTGTCTGCACCACCAACGTTGCTCTGCCATCTCCTGTCATTCCTGCGATTGCCGGCGTGGTGTCGACTGTCCGTCGTGAGCTCCACATGGCACAACACGAGCCAGGTACAGCTCGAGTCTGAGCACGTGTCGATCGCCTCCAAGAGTCGTCTTGGGGCTTCTGCTCCAGGCACTGCACACGCTCACCATGACTTGTTCTTATAGACTCAAGACATGGTGTGGAAGGTCTTCTTTGATCAGGTATGGGTCCGAATTGCCGATGGCGCAGTCGACCCCATGGCGCATATTGAATGGACGAAGAAGAGGCGGCAGTATCGACCCACGTTGTACAGCCTTGCCAAGCAAATCGTGGCAATCGCCACCGATAACGTTCACTTGATGTTGCAGCCTGAAGCGTGGCAGCTCGCTGTCGAAACCGATGACACGTTTGTCGACGTGCAGCGCTTTGCTGTTGGCACTGACCGCGGCAACGCCGTGGCTGCAGTCGTCCCAGCGTTTCCGACTCATCTCATTCAAACTCTGGTGCCCGAAGCGACGACAATGGGAGTACTCCAAGGCCTGGCCTCCGGAGCGTTTACAAGCGTGACTGTTCGTCGGCTCAAGGTTTTCAATACTGTCCACGTTCCTCCGCTGGATGTCTGGCCGACCTTTGTTGGCCATCCGCTGGTGTCAATCGAAGTTGCCGTGAACAACGACGGTGCAACGTCCAAAAAGACGGAGATCAAGCGAGGCGACGACGTGCTCAAGTTCCAAGCGGCCGTGATGTCCTTGACCGGCCGACGTCTTCGGGCCAAACTCAAGGCTGAAGCAACCGACAGATTGGCAAAGCGCGCGAAGAAGCACGCGACAGCCACGGCGGCGCTGGATGCTATGCTCCACCATGCAAAGGACAAGGTTAACTCATTACGACAGCATGTGCCAGTGCAGAGAAGGTCGGACCAGGGCAGTCACAGCGGCAAAATCGACGAAATGAACTCACTGTGAGATATGCTGGAAGCAGCAATTATGTACAAAAACGTCGCGATGTCCTTCCAAAGAACTCAATCCACAGCTCACGGCGATGTACCTTGCCATGCCGCGCTCAAGATTTAAAGAGTTGCGCGGCAATGGCACTCTATGTGCAGCACACTCGTTCGCGCGCAAGGTTTGGAGACTTCTTGCTGCCGAGGTTGCACTGCATGCTCCATTTTGTGTATGTCCAAGGCGATCTGTGCGTCCAGATTTCGCCATTGTCGAATGTAATACCGCAACGAGTCCAAAACGGTGCGATCCAGAGGTCAAGTCTGAATTACGGATGCGGCTCTCGTTCTACTTCCATGCTCAACGACGTCGCGAGCGGCGGCGTGAGCGTCGTGAAGGCGCGGTGGCGGTACGGTCCCAACCCACGGGTGGCCAAGTGCTTCGGCAGTGACAAAAGCGCGTGGAGGATAGCCGCGTCGTCCGTCGCGTCCAAGAGCTCTCGTGCGTGCACCAGAATGAGGCCCACGTACAGAGCATACATGGCGAGCCAACCCTCGACGAGAAACGTGTCGAGGATGTGCATGCACGTGGATGGTGGAAGTGATCGGTCGTTCAGAAACAACGACAGGATCCAACTCGACGCAAACATGGACGGCGTCACGTGGTGGGTACGAAGGTGCGACGTGACAGCAGGGGCGTACATGTCGAGGCAATGCTCAAGTTGATGCAGCCGCCGCGGCAAACCCGCACCAAAAGAAGATGGACTGCCGTGCCACAAGTAATGCATGCCATGTTTCTGCATAAGCGTGCAAAAGACATGGAAGGTGGCGTCGACGTCGTACTGGAGCGTCGACAGGAGCGCGGCCCCGAGAAACGTCATACCGTGACCGTACCCGACGTTGGGATACTGGTGAGCAAACGTCGCGAGAAGCAAGTGAAGTTTTGTGTGCAGCGACTTGAGCGCTGGCGACTTGGACGAGTACGACCCAATGCGAGGAAGAGTCGTCGCCGCCGTTGGAGAGGGTGATGGTGACGACGTCGGCGAGGACAGCAACGATGGCATGTACATGGACTCTTTTGGAAAGAACGTTGTGCGGTGCACTTCTTGATGGAGCAACTCGTCGTCGAGATGACTGGTGATGCCCACTGGCGATCCATGGGATGTATCACAAGAGCTTGCCGCCTTGGGCGAAGACAGCGATTGTGGAGTGAACGTGTGTGGAAGTAAATGGGGCTGCCAGTACCGCCACCGATCCTCGGGTTGTCCAAAGGACTGAGACAAGATGCAGTACGACGACAGGGTCGAGTGCCATGAACGACAAACGGACAACGCAGCGACAATATCCAACGGACCGAGGAAGGAAAAGAATGGCAGCAAACCGCACGAAAGGTGGCCCGTTGTCTTCGCCAGGCGACGCAGTTCCTCGTGGACGGTTTGGTTGGTTTGGTCCAGCTCGATTCCAATGCAAAGTGACTCTTCGCGAGCGTTGCCTAAAGGCACCGTGCGAATCCGTTCTTGTGCCGTTATCGCTCGCTCGAGGTTGGCAAGTAGTGCTGTGTATCGAGACCTAAGGCCGGCAAGGAAAGTCAAGGAGGGTGACTTGTGAAATCGACATCGGGCAAGGTACATGATAGAAACGAGCGCATCCTCAGCCGCGACACCCGTGGCGTTGTGTGCATGATGCTTAAGGGATAAATAGTGAAGGTTGCGCTTCAATCGAAGGGACTTCTTCTTGAAACAGTTCTACAAGATGATAAGGTCGAATTCACGACGAAGGAGCCACACCTGCGTCGATTTCAACAGCGCTTGGCACTCGCGCTTGAAGTCGTTCATGTCGGAATTATTCTCGTTGGCCAAGAATTGTCGCGCTGCACGCATGTCCTAAACACGCCGGCCACTTGAGACAACGTAGACCTCTCGTATGCGAGTGACTACGGACATATGGAGGAAAAAAGTGCATGATACCCGCTGCACTCTTATCACTCTTCGCAACAACAGGAAACTCGCGCAATGTCGAATCGAGTTGCGAGCTTGCGCGAGGAAAGTTTACTTTGACTGCTAACCTTCCATCGCTCGTCTTCATCCTTTGGTCGCGTTGTCGTTTCGCAAGATTGCCAAGCCGAAAAATTTCTAGGTGGCATGCCGGATAACCCACGTATCCGGATATTCGTCCGGATATTCTCGTCCTTTTCCGGGAATCCGATCAAAGGTGTATCTTGAAAGGTCGCAGTTTCACTGACATGCCACGCCCGAGGATCCAAAGTTGCCCGCGATGCCACGTTGGCGTTTGGCTTGGCAGCGTTGGGTGTGTGCAAGTCCTCCATCGACTATTGTGGCAACGGATCGAGAAGCAGACTGCATTGGTCTCATTGCCGAGTTGGACTGGGCAGTATGTTCAGGCACCATTGCGTTGTGGACGTCGTCCGGGAAATATTTTTTATGAACGATGTGTGTTTCTTGCACTTGTTTTGAAGACGTGCGCTCCGTGAAAGAGGAATCGATGCTTTCGGTATTCCAGCATGCTCATTTGGATGAACTGACGACGTTTGTGTGGACCAAAGCGCCATCCACAAACGTAGTACACTATGACAAAGTCGCACAAGAAGAACACTCACAATTCGAGGTGCCTCGTCTAGTTTAAGAGCAGTTATATAACGTCGCATTTGCGAATTTGCGAACCAATTCTTCAGATCGTAAACGATGTTGCAGCGAAGTCTTTGTGCGAGAACAATCGCTAAGATACCTTCCGCGGCCACGAGCCCATGAAGCCCCCACTGGTCGGTTGCCCTCGCACTCTTTCGTCGAGATCGGACTGCTTGATCACCTGTGCGTGTTGTTGATGTTGTGGGCAAGAATGGTTGGGCATTCGGTTTGTGTCTATAAAGGTATCCGGATCATCAGCATGATCCGGTTAGTTGATGTGACGGATCTTCCAGACGAAAATGCCCATGAATACGGCGCGGCTGTCCTTCCGGTACTCGAGTGCCGACACCGTGGCTTCCCTCGTCTTGCTTGGCATGACCGACGACTGCCATCGCGTACGTGCACCATTTTGACCTTCTGAATCAGTATCAGTGCTGGATTGACACACTTCCGCAGTGTATCCTGCGTCCACAGCGTCCCTTGTCGTGCCCACAACACAACGACTCGTGTTTGGTCCTGCGCCCCAACACGACGTACGATTTTGGCGTTGATGGTGTATTTCCCATGAGGTTGGCGCTACATCCGCGCGAGACCTTGCCTCCCGTACTGATCCATCCTCGCGAGAGGATCTGACGGCGATGGAGTAGGTGTGGGAGGGGAGGTATGCGTTTGAGGAGCAGTCAGAGTACACGATGCAGGCCCAGCAACTCGACACTGGCGAAATCCATGCGTCCATCGTGCTGGACCACAAAGGATCGCCATTGTGGGTTCTCACGGCCATGCTAGCGTTTGTCGTCGTGTGGTTGGGATGGTGTGTCGGACAATTCTTGTGGAAGCGACACTTGGCTTCGTTGCGGTAATTTGACGCAATTGTTCAATGCACCCATGACATTTCTCGTAGCAGCGATGAAGACGAAGACGACACGAACCACCTCCCTCTACTTCCTGCACAAGGGCCATCCATTGCTGCGGGCACGGCATCAACCGCAAGCGATCGTGCTAGGCTCAGTACACAGCACATCCAGCGCATCAAGTCGTTGGATGCTTTCCGCGGGATCACAGTATTTTGCATGATCTTTGTAAACTACGGTGGCGGTGGGTACTGGCAGTTCAAGCATAGCACATGGAATGGTCTAACTTTGGCGGATTTGGTCTTTCCATGGTACGCGATAGAGTCCAATTCTCTTTCTAACGTTTCAAAACAGGTTTGCATGGATAATGGGAATGTCCATGTCGCTCGTCCCGCCTGCAAAACGATCGCTTCGACGATGTGCCGTCCGCAGCATCAAGCTGTTTGCGCTTGGCCTCTTTATCAACAATGGGGTCGACTTCAACACGTGGCGCATTCCTGGTGCGCAATGTCGCTCGTTCCTTCTCCAATTTCTTTTGTTTTGTTGTGTTTTTCAGGGGTGCTCCAATCCTTTGGCGTGAGCTACGCGATTGTGTCGGCGATTCTCGTGCGCACGCAGGCGGCATCCGTCGTCCTACCAGCCGTCATCATGGCCGTGCTGACGTTGCTGCAGCTTCTTGTCGTGTACTTCTTGCCCGTAGCGGGGTGCCCCACAGGGTATGTAGGTACGTGATGGCTGCATGGCGTTCCCCCCGCGTAACCTAGTTCCAGGGCCGGGTGGAAACGGAGACTTTGGGCAATATGTCCAGTGCACAGGTGGCGCCCACCGCGCCGTCGACTTGGCGTTGTTTGGCGATGCTCACATCTTCCAGAACCCCACGATCAAGTTTGTATACGACACACCGTCGTACGACCCTGAAGGAGTCCTCAATTGGATTATGGTTGCCCTCACAACGTTTTTCGGGTATGCGGTTGGCTCGATCGTGTGGCATCGCTGTTCATGTTGGGTACGTACGACGGTATTGTTGCCAATTTCAACAGCGTTAACAGGTTGCTGTCGTCAAGTAGACCGAGAAGGGATGGGTGTTGGGGTTGTCTGGTCTGGTCTTGGTCGTCGTGGGGGCTGTGTTGTGCCAAGGCCGCGTGAACGACGGCTGGATCCCTGTCAACAAGAACCTGTGGAGTATCACGTTTGTGTTGGTGGCCGCAGGACTCGGCAGTGTTGTGTTTGGTGGCGTGTACTTGGCTGTCGATGTGTTCCATATGTGGTCAGGGGCGCCATTTTTATACGCAGGCATGAATCCCATTCTGCTCTATTGCGGGGTACGTTGGCCCAACCAGCCTGACTTGTTCGACCATGCCTTCGGGTTTTAGCTCGTTTGTGTGCCTTGAATTCGTTGGAGCACGCGTTGCTGTGCCTCGGTGTGTGAGTGTTTTTCTTACGTGCATGTGTACGCATCCGACAGTCTACCATGACAGCATATCGGTCACGAGGTTGCTCGTGTATGTAGCATGAAGTATTGCAGGGGTACTTTCCGTTTGACATTGCGCACGACAGCACGTCCCACGCGGCGACGACGCTGGCAAATCTGTTGGGGGCAATTAGGTAAGGCAACAAGGGTGGATGCGAATGGAGGAACCCGTCTAATCCATGGTGGGCTGACATGTTTTCGTAGTTGGTTGTGCATTGCCCGTATCCTGTACGCCAAGAACGTGTTCGTGACCGTCTAGATGCCGAGGCACCGCGCAAATCCACGATTTGATGTTGTTCTCGAATAAACAGCGACCAGTGGGTTCCATCTCGCGTTGGGAAAACTGCTCAAGACAATCCATGTCATCCGAATCTATTGTCCCACGGTCGCAAGAATAGGTCGGGACGTTGCCATACCACGAAATGACGGTGGTGGTAATATCGGTGCTTCGTCAAGCTTCGGTATATGCCAGGCTGAAAGGGCACTTTGTTTGCAAGGCAAACCAGGATGAATTTGGTGGTCCAAACACGATGAGTTTGTTTTCGACGACAGAAATATAGTACATGAGGCATGTTCGGTCATGATGGTGCGTCAAAGCAGACGATCGAAGAGTCGTTCCACGGGACTCCCACTAGGTACCTACGACACATGAAGAAGAAGCCGTTGAAGCGGTACTAAGGCTGATGTCTGGACAGCGTGAGCTGCGTGGACCAAGAATCGTCCCAGTGCCGTTCCAGAGTCTAACGATACGATTTGAGAGTAAGGGAGTGCATTCTATAGGAAAGCAATCTCATGTATCCTTGGAAATCATTCGCCTCTCGACTTCCCGACATCAAACGTGGCGCAGGGCTTCGACGTCCGAGTGGATGGAGTCTGCACAGCACTCATATCAGTCTGGAGCGCGGCTGCCGCGACGAAATCGGTTGCGTGCTCGTCCACGCAACTCGCAACAGTTGCTTGGACACCGCTGGGCGCCACCAGCCCAGTCTACCTCCGCAGCGCCGTCCACAACAACTCGGTCTGCATTCGAGTGTCGCTAACGAACCAGCCCAATGCAACATGGTTTGCTCTGGCCATTGCCAAATCGAGCAACATGATCAACTAGCAACCTAACAACGCCATTCTGTTCACAACCCACAATGCGTCCTCCGCACTCTATGTTTTGGAGGACGCTGTGCCTCACGGTGTGCATTACGAAGCGCATCCAGCGTCGTCATGCCGCGTCGTCGACACCGCCGCCTCCAACGGCGACTTCACATTTTCCTATGAACCTTCGCTTGCCGCAACTACCACGTTCGACGTTCCGATCAAGTTGGATGAGCCCACGACCGTGAACTGGGCCGTGGGCTTCTCAGCGTTCCCCAACTCATCCGCTTCGTACAAGCTTGTGAATGCCTCGACGATTGGCGGCACAACCACCTACGTTTTAGAACGGTCAGTGGAGGCCACAACAGCGACCGACGTTGCGATCTCGCTCGAAGCACCCATCATTGTCACCTTGGCCGTTCGCATGACCGCATTCCCCGACTTCCACAACATCCAAGGGTCGGCCGGCAACAGGTTTCATCGCGTGGAGTTGTGGCCGTCGATCCACCTGCCGCGACAACGACCTCGGTGGTTCCTGCAGTCGCCAGCCTATGTGACGAAGCGGCGGTGGCATCGA